ATGCAACAGCGACGAGATGAAATCCTCGCAAAGAAGGCTAAGCTCGCGGAGCTTAAGCGACAGAGAGAGCTTCGTGCGACTCAAGCAACAGCAAGCCGGCAAAGTGCAGGAAGTCCAGGCGACGTGAGATGAACCGGTTCCTTTCCCGACGCAGTCTGCTGATGTGTTGTATAGCTGGTCTCCCCTATCCCAGGCCGAGCCGAGAACCGCCGCGACATCGAAACCTTGATCAATAGTTTGGTGGGAGAAAGTCGACCTGGATCAACGACCGGAGGAGCTGCGTCACCGGCCCGTAGGGGAAGCCGGCCCAACAGCGTCCTCAGCGCAGGAGAGTTGAGTACTGCAACATCGGAGTTCGCAACCCCCGCCAATGGCCAACCAACTCCGGCCCCAGCTCCCGTTGCAACCCCCGTGCAGCTGAGTCTGACGACGGCACCGCTCACAACTATTTACGAAGTCCCTCCATCTCCTGTCAAGGAAGTGCACTCATACAGCAAGGGAGTGCAAACGGCGGAAGCCTGGACTTCGCCAACCCGACCTAGAGCCCAGTCGCTCTCCGACACCGAAGACATTCCTCCTATCACATCGACGCCCAGCAAGAGGCTGAGCCGAAGGCAGCGGGATCGCGAAGAAGAGCTGCGACAGGACATCCGAAAGGAGGTGGAAGAGGAGCTCAAGGCCTCGCTGGATCTGCTCAAGGATGGTGTGATCCCGAGCGACACCCCGGCGAAGGCGAATTATCCCATGCGCAAGCTTACCGCCGAGGAGCTGGAAGCTGTTACTGGCGCCCCCGACTTTTCTGAATTTTTAGAGAAATCCACGAAGGTGATCGAGAGAGCTCTTGATCAGGAATACGATATTCTCACGGATTACGCCCTCCAGGGTCAAGACGTGGAGGATGATGACGATGATAGCGGCAACGTTGGTGGCAAAGGTCGGCGGAGAGTCAAGGAGGTGGCCCAGTTCTTCGATGAAAGATGGTCTAAGAAACGCATGATCAGCAGCATCGACTTCTCACATCATCATTCAGAGCTAATGCTGGCATCGTACACCAAAAACCCGACTGCACCACACGAGCCGGATGGTCTGGTCCAAGTCTGGAGCTTGGCTCTGCGTGACAGACCAGAGTATGTTTTCCACGCACAGTCTGATGTTCTCACGGCGAAGTTCTCCCCTTACCACCAGAACCTCATTATCGGTGGCACTTACAGCGGTCAAGTACTGCTGTGGGATATGAGAGCAAAATCGGCACCTGTCCAGAAGACGCCACTTACAGGATACGGCCACACGCATCCCATCTATTCGGTCGATATTGTGGGTACTCAAAACGCCAATAACATCATTTCAACTTCTACGGACGGTGTGGTCTGCGGCTGGAGTATGGACGTCTTTGCCCAGCCGCAAGAGCTGCTAGAGCTCAAGGCACCGCCCGGTTACAAGTTGGACGATATCAGCCCGACCTCCTTAGCGTTTCCCCAAACGGATCCTACGTTTTTCCTCGTTGGCAGTGAGGAGGGCACTATCTTCCCTTGCCACAGGTACGACCGAGCTGGCGCAAAGGCTGGAGTTGATGCTCGTGTCAGCTACAAGGGACACACAGCACCGGTCATGTCGGTGGACTTCCATCCTGCTCGTGGTCCCGTGGACCTCGGTGACCTGGTTCTCTCATCTTCTCTCGACTGGAGCGTCAGACTGTGGAAGGTTCGCGCACCCGCGGCGACGTCGACAGCAGGTGTTGAGCCGACGGTTTCACCACTCATCGACTTTGTGCGAGAAGACGTAGTGTATGATGCACAATGGTCGCCGATCAAGCCCAGCGTTTTCGCTCTGGTAGACGGGGCAGGCTGGCTCGAGCTATGGGACATCACAGTGGAGACTGAGGAGCCTGTCGCGAGAATATCTCCGAGCTCTCGCAAGGATGGTAGAACGATGCTTGCCAAGAGCTTGAACAAGGTTGTGTGGGAGCCTTCTGAGGGCAAGCGCCTGGCTACGGGAGGTATCGACGGAGTCTTGACCGTGTTCGAGGTGGCCTCTGGCCTGGGCGGAAGAGACGACCTGAAGGCGGAGGAGTGGACAAACGTGAAGAAGCTGGTCAATAGGGTTGAGGCTCACGGTTTGAATGGAGCGATGGTGTAGAAGCCAACTTCTCTTCGTGTACCTTCTGGGGCGAGAGCCACTATATTCGATTTGTTGGTAAAAGGCGCGTTGCTGTATACCCTGATACCGTGTTGTTGTTGAGCCTATCAATCTACTACTTGAAGACTATACTCCTCGCACCGTCCACTGACCGAATCTGTTGTGATACTCATTTTGTACTAGGCAGTGTACAATAGCCATCATTTTGAGGTATCCGTCAAGTAAGTGGAAACCGAGAGCATCCACCATCTCGATTGGCCGCCTAGGAATTGAGGATAGCTTGCTTAGTCATCGTATACATAAATGTCTTTGCCCAGACAAGAACTTTTTTCTCGACACTGCATCCATCTCACCCAAGCCCAACAACCAAAATTTTGCAAAGCCGACAGCTTCGGACTACAAAAGGTAAGTCACAACTTGGTATTTCTTATCACTTTTGATACCCAACGGCACAATGATGATCGAAAAAGAATTCTGCAATTCTGAAGACCTCCGGGTCGTTCTGTGGATAAAATCTTCGCCTTACTAGCAACACTGAGCCCGCTCCTCGAAGCTTTTCTTTATTCAATACATTCAGGCTACGTTTAGGGAAATATCAAGCTAACGTTTGTAACAAAAGATTTGACTACGTTTTGGATATGCTATCTATATACGGCTTCACTCAATGTCTTAGGTGTTGACGGGAGCACCGTCGGGGTAACGGCCACCCGCGACCTCAAACTTGGCCAGCGTCGCGTCAATCTCTGCCATCTCCGCCTCGGTAAGTTCCACCAGCTTTGCATTCTCCGTGACCCTCGCCGCCGTCGTGGCACCCGGGATGGGAATGATCTCGGGCACGTCGGGCCTCTTGGAGAGCGCAACGAGCCAGCCGATGGCGAGCTGTGCGGGCGTGACGCCCTTCTTCTTGGCCAGCGCCTCGACCTGCTCGACGAGCTTGATGTTGATGCCGAACGTGTCGGGCTGGAAGCGGGGCATGTGCCGCCTCATGTCGCCCTGGGGAATGTCGTCGAGCGACTTGACCTCGCCCGTGAGCATGCCGCGGCCGATGGGGGAGTAGGCGATGATGGGGATGCCGTACTGCGCGCACGCGGCGGCGACGCCGTTGGTCAGAGGTTCGGTCGAGAATAAGCTGAGCTCGACCTCGACGCCGATAATCTTGGCTACCTTGACGGCTTCGTGAATGGTGGCCGCCGAGACCTCGGAGAGTGTGATGCCGCCAACTTTGCCCGTGTCAATGTACTCCTTTTGAATGACGCCGAACGTGACCTCGAGGGGCGTATTCTTGTCCCGCCGCGCGCACTCGAAAATGTCGACCTTTTTCCTGCCCCCGAGCTGGGAGAGGATCTTGTCGAGGGAGCGGCGAACGTTCTCGGGTGAGCCGTCGGGCTTGAGCTGCGGGAGGATGAGGCCGCCCTTCATGCTCAGTACGACCTTGTCGGCGTCCTTGGGGTACTTTGTGAAGTAGCGCTCTAGGAGGGTGCTGCTATTGTACTCTGGCGTTCCGTAGAATTCTCCGCCGTTCCAAAAGTTGTTGCCATTGGCGAGGGCGGTGCGCATGGCCTCGAAGGCCTGCTCCTCTGAGCAGGGCTGGGGTCGCCACGTAAGGCCCATGAGGCCGTAGCCGATCTGGCCAACGTCTTGTCCGTTGAGCTTAGGCATGTTTGAGTGTTGCTTTTTGGCTATATTGTGAGAAATGTGTGTGAAAGGAGATGTCGGCTTCCAGTTGCTGAATAACTCCTGAGACTTGGGCTGCGGGGTATAGGTGCTGTTATCGAGCTATCGAGATGTAGTGGATATCGAGACTCGAGAGTGGTGTCCAGTGAACCTAAACTCCAGACGGAGACGCGGGTTTCGATTGTTTATATAATGGTGTTGAGGGCTTCGAGATGATATCACCAGTGTTACCGGAAAAGAGGAGAAGGGAGCTAAGAATTTCATCCTACCTATCCCCATGTGCAGATGGAAGAAGGGTTTACGGCTCTCACGGAGCAGTCCTTCCTACCTTAGGTACCTACCTTCAATGACGAATTCGCGGAGACCGAAATGCTTTACACCCCCACCATGGCACCAAAGCACTTCCTTCCACGGCAGATAGGTTGCCAAAGTGCAGTGTGGGGGTGCAGTAATGTCGTTTGCGCAGGTACCGTACACTGGACAACTTACTGCCTTGGCACGCTTTCATTCGCTGGAGTCTAGACGGGGTTAAGAACGAGTGGACGGATTTAGCATCTACCACAACCCTCGATTCCCGATCGGTCGGGAATGTGAGAAATTCGCTGCGTCCACGATCTTGGAAGCCTGTGGGATGGACTTAAGCCGCTTACATTATCAACTTGAACCGTTGAAAGTAACCCCCCAACCCGATCGACATGCTGTCAGACGCTTATATTCCTTCCCGTGTGGTAGGCGTACAACCACCTTGCTGATTCGAACTTTGGCCGACGGGATGACACATTAGGTGGTGCATGACAACGTCACGGAGATATTGCAAGTCCGGCTTCGTATTGGGAAAAGAAGAATGAGGTATCGGGAAGCCCAGATGTGCATCCAATCTCTATCACCGGGTACCCTTGGGCCTTCTCTACATTGAGGCAAGTCAAACATAGAACTTGGCAAGCTTACAAGCAAGCGTGACAATGGCTTCTAGCAAATGCGCAGTCGATAGTCGTCATCTCGAATCGAATGATCTATGGAGCTTAACATTCAAGATAGTATCTCATCTCTACCGAAGCTGGATTTCGGAAGAGAAGCATACCAAATTGAGTTGCGTTGACCGGGCCGTTCACCAATAATCTACCTACTTCCTAGCCAAGTTTATCAAAGAAGATTACACACTTAAGATATGTCGACTCAAAAAGGTAGAATCAAATATCAACAAGCTTCTCAACAACCCCCTCAACCTGCTGAATCCCCACCGTCTGACTCTGCACCCGCCCCAAGCTCAGTTTCTTCTTACTGCCAACAGCAATAATAGGAGACGACGTTGCCACCTGCGCCCTCTCGATCCCAAACTGCACGCTACGAAGCTCCCTCGCCATCTTCCTCTCAGCCTTTCCCGGCTTCACTCTAGCAGCCTTCCGTGACGGCTCAAGAGCCATCGGCGGCAGAGCAGAGTGAACGACACCTACTGCCGGCGGAAAGGGGTTGCTGCTCTTCTTCAAACCGGGCGCCACGGTGGCAACAGCAAAGATGCGCGGGTCAATCGCCCCTTCAGCAGGCAAGCCAGCCTGCTTGCGCCACCAAGATGGCAGCTCCGTCATGTTGACGTCCGCGAGCCCCTCGAGCGTCAGAGGCATCTGGTGCGTGTAGCGGCACTCGTTGCCCCAACTGCACTGGCCCGTCTGACACCAGTGTCGGCAGAGGCTGCCGTCCGGCCTGACTACCTTTTGCTTTCCAGCGGTGGGCTTGGGAGGAGCAGTCTTTAGGGCTCCGGCGACAATGTCGGTGCTGGTGCTGCCGTCGCTGCTACGAGATGCCGTTGTCTTCAGGGCGTAGGCAGGATGGCGGTGGTTGCGAGTGACTGCTTGCTGCTGAACGCGACCGAGCTCGAGCATACGCTCCGCGATCTCGGCATCCGATCTCTCCTTGATGGCGGCCGTAGCCGGGACCGGGGCTCGTCGGAGCGGTTTTCGTTTGTCTCTGGAGCCGGAGGAGGATTTTGACGAGGAGTCTGGCGCGGAGAGCTCGGCCGAGGAGAAGTTGTCTGTCGAGACCGAGTCCGTGTCGTCTTCGGCCCAGTCGAGGACCCGGGGTGGGGGAGGGGAAGGAGCGAGTAGAGGGACGTTGGTCAATGTTTTGGGAGTTGGTTGCGAGGCAGCTGACTTTGAAGATTCAGTGACACCGCTGCGCTTTGCTACGTGAGGCTGCTTGTTAGTTCCGTGGCCGATCTTTGCAGCGTCAGGTCCAGGCCCCTGAGGTTCGAGATGGCAACCAGGATCCGAGCTCTCAGTACCTCCTCCGGTGGGACGATCATGCGCCGGGGACACGAATCGTAGCTGATAGTGACCTTGCGGCTTGGCGAAAGTGCCCAGGTTCGACATGCCGGTGGTGTCCTTGATGGTCAGCGTACGCGACAGGCCCACGATGGTCACATAGTCTGGGAGAAGATCGGCTGGTATGACAGGTACGATTGCCGCTGGGTTGCCCTCGCGAATGATGAAGTGCGTCGGTCGTATCTGAGGGCCATCGTTTGCCTGCGGGCTGTGAATCGAGTGAGATAGGCCCTTCTTATTGGTGCCAGGAGCCCCGGCCATGTCGAAAATATTGGTATTGGTGACTTTGGGTGGCATGATTGGCCGTGAACTGATTTTGAGGACCTATTACAGGTTTCAATTTGAACAACGGGAATATAAGGCTGCTTGAGATCGAGGGAAAGCGAGACTGTGAAGTCATATTTCTGTTAGGAGTTCTGTCTTGTCCCATTCTTCGTCCTTCCGTTTGTTACAATCTTCTGCACGGCAGGATGCTTATATGCTCATGTCGCTTGTACAGAAGCAACAGACGTAATGGCACACAGCCTAGACGCTACAAACAAAACATAGCCAGTTTAACCGCAATCTATATGCATTATCCCGTGAGACCACCTAAGGGCTACGCCAAAGAGTTTCACCTATCCTCCACGCGGATATTGACATCCATCCCATCCACACAGAAACCCAACTGCCTCGGCCCATCCCTAAGCTCAACCTCCCTCTTGACCCATCTACCTCCCCTCGCCTCCTGCGCTCCAGCAGCGCCCTCACCGCCTCTCCCGGCAGCAGCGTCTTCCTCGTCGCTGCTATCATCCGCATTCTCGTCGTCGTCGAACCCGCCAACGGGATCCCATTCGCCAGTCTCCCACACCAAACGCAGTCGCAGGGGCTCCGCGCCAAACAGCCGTCCCGCGATCCCCTTGACGGCGTAGACGTCGCACGATTTGGGGATCGTAGCCGTCTGGGTCACTTGTTGTCCTTCTTCCCGGCTGCCGCCGTCTGAACGTGCTGCTGCTGCTGCTGCGACGTGGGTGAAGTGTACGGTAATCAGACGAGCCTCGAGGTAGGTAGGGTTAATCTCGTCGCGGCGGATGACGTCCGGCGCACCGTAGAGGTCGCAGAGTTCCTGATAGCGGGCGTGTTGGGCAATGACCTCGGGCTCGGCGGCCTCGGGCACGGAGGCGAGCTGTCTGGCGATGCGGGAGAGGTAAAACATGTCCGCGTTCTCGCGGTCCTTGAGCGAGATAGCTGTGAAGTTGAGGGCCTTGAGGGAGGCGAGGCGGCCGATGGTCACCATGTGTGCCTCGTCCGTCGACTTTGTCTGGTTGTCGCCGGCGGCGGCATCTGGGTCGGGACGGTCGTAAATTGGGTTGTGGGCGAAGCGCAGAGCCGTGAGGCCCGGGAATGAGGTGGGGAGGGCATCTACAAAGGCCCAGCTTGCGACGGCGTTGTAGGATATGTCTAGGTACTGCAGGCTGGATGAAAATGTTGGGACGGGGCCGGAGGGAGAGGAGATGGTGGCGATGTTGTTGCCCTTGAGGTGGAGGTTGCGAAGAGACTCTAGGGATGACAGAGCCGCGATGTCAGAGAATGATGTGAACTCGTTGAATTCGAGGTCCAACGTCGTGAGGGTTGCGGCGAGCGATCCGAACGAGACATTAGGGAGCACGGTCAATTGGTTCAAGCTGCAGCTCCAGGTCTCGAGAGACGGGAATTTGCGAGCGAGACCGCAGAGGGCTTCCCAACTTAGCAGTGTCTCCTCAAGCTCCAGCTCTGTGACCTTTGCAAAGGCCTGCGTTTCGACCGTCTCGATGACTCGGAAGCGGTTACCACTGAGGACAAGGTCAGTCAATGCTGATTAGAAAAAAAGTCCGGTGAAAAGCCACAAAACGTACTTTAGTCTCAGATTTCTCAAGGCGTCCAGCTCCTGACAGATCTTGATCACCTGGTCAAACTCCTCAAACAGATTTCTGCTGAGATCCAGCTCGTAAATGAGGGGACTCGTCTCCTTGATGCTCTTGTCCCCGTCCACAACATCCGACTGGATGCGCGTGCCGTCGAGAATCACAATCGTCAAGTCCTCGACGCGCGCGAGCTGCCGGCGGATCTTGTCGAAGCCGACCTCCTCGGCAGGTTTCTTACCAAAAAAGACAATCTGCTGAATCTCCGCCTCGCGCTTCGCGACCGCCTCGGAGGCATATTTGCCGTGCAACGCGGTGACGAAGCTCTGCGCGGCATCGGCGCGGCGGGTTGGCCGCACGAATGAAGCGGCGGCGGGGGCTTTTGAAAGACCTGGCGGGCACACATTAGAACCCTCGAATAATCTGCGCAACGACACGAGAGGGTGAAATGAGCTAACATGAAAAGTATCGGACGTCTTTATGCTGGCCGTCGTGTTTCCCGCGTCCGGTGTCGTCCCATTCTACGCCGAGCCAGCTGCCTGATGTGCCGGCGACGGGCCCTACGTAGCGAACGGTGCAAAGTGCATTATCGTAGGAAAGGCGCTGGCCAACGTAATTACTTGACGACATTTTATAACCCAGCGATTGTCGTCACCGCTGAGATGTCTGAAGCGCTGGGCTCATTTTTTTTTTTTTTTGTGTACTTGGTTCGGAGCTCTGAGGTAGTGGGCAGGCAGCAGAATGATCCATCAGATTCGAGTGAGTGAGTGAGCTCTTGCGCTGGAGCTGACCCGGGAGGCTAAAATTGTTAGTGAGTGCCAGACTGGCCATCAATAACGAGCACCAGCATGCCAACAACCACACGATAGCGAAAGAGTTTCAAAGTGTTTGAAGTGAATTTGTGACGTTATAGAATGCTGTGCTTAAATCTGAACTGTAATGTTCCAAAATTTCATCCAAAATCCATTATTTTACAACTTTGACTTGGGAGACTCCACAATCTTCAACAGCGCGCGACCGTTGCTCAGAACGATCTTTCCGCCCTCGACCTTGGTCTGGAAGCGAACTTCTTCCCATCCATCCTTGACATCGCCTGTCCTCCAAGCATCCGTCACCAGCTTGTCGCCAGGCATGACGGGGCTGGCGAAGCGCGCCTGGTACTCCTTGATGTTGGCAGGGTCACTGCCGCCGAGGGCCTTCAGCAGACCGTGGGCGGTCGAGTTCCAGGAGTACAGTCCGTGCATGATAGCTCCGGGGAAGCCCATCTTCTTGCCGGGTTCGGGAGTCGCGTGCAGAGGGTTGTAATCTCCATTGAGGCGGTAGAGGAGTGCTGACTCCTTGTTCGTAGCCTGGGAGAAGGTGGCATCGGGCTTCTTGTCCTTCGGGGGAGGGAAGTTCTCGGTCGCGGGACCCTTAGGGCCGCCCCAGTTGCCCTGGGCAACGTAGAAGCTGCTGGTGATGACGCTGGCGTAGACCTCGTTGCTGGGCAGCTCTACCAGGTCGGTCTGGGTCTCGACGACGGAGCCGGGGCGGCCCTTGTCGTAAACACCGAGAACCTTGGTTCGGACTTCGAACTTCTTGCCGGCCGAAGTGGGGGGGATGGTCTTGTGAAGCACAATCTTGCGCTGTCCATCGACGACGCGGCGGGCATCGAACGAAGGAACATTGGGGATCTGGACGGCCTTCTGGGCGGCGTAGAAGTCGACAACCTCCTGGGTGTCGCCCTTGAATGCTGGCTCGGTGTTAGCTGGGTTGATCGCAGTGTCGATTGAGGCGATGGAGCTCACTGAGAATCAGAGGGTAGGTAGGGAAGACGGCGAAGTTGGGGTGAAGCTCCTGTTGGCAAACGGTCAGCAATCAAAAGCCATAAAAGTCAGATGAGAGGAGAAAACTTGCATAGAGAAAGTGAAGCTCGTCGTCGGTAGCACCAATGGTGTTCGCAAAGAGCAGCACATCGCGCTTGACCCAGGAAACGGGCTGGCGGGGGTACTCGAATCCAACACCGGGGCGGCTCATTGTGAAGTTTTCTGTATGAATATGTGTGATGTACAGCTAGCGATACAAAGCGAGTCTGAATTGCAATTGGAAAAGAAAAGGCGGGGAGACGTGAGCAGACTTGCACCTCGGCCGAGCTCTGGGGAATTCACGACGGTTTTAACAGGCGATGGCCAAGCTGCCCTCGGCGTAGCTGATGGTCAGCTAACCGGCCAGCTAACCGGACAGAGAGGGCAGCTCCAGTGGCAGTGAAACCCAGGGCCGCCAATGCCGAGGTTCAAATGTGGGGGTGGAGTTACGCCATCTTGGGCTTTACCCCGGATCTCGACTTCGGGATCTACTATATCAGGGTCGCTTTACTACAGGGTCTAGAAGGGGCTAGTGCGAATGATTCCTCTCGATGTATCAGTAATCTGGGTTATCAAGGCTCATGTTGTTGGAAAACCTCGTATGGCAGATTAGAAAAAGCTTCCGTTGCGGTTTTCTCAAGGTGCAGCGTCCCTTTGCTGCCGCTTAGCGTCGGGGGTCGGCAGGTGTCAACACCGACCACCTGCCTGGGGATGGGAGCTCTCGCAGGGTGGAAGGAGCTCCTCCTTCACCGAACAGAAGGGAGCTCCTCCCTTCACTTCACCTTCCCTCACCCGTAGGTCCTTTCACCAACCTTTCCTTTCCGCGTCACCATCCTTGGCCTAGCAAAAACTTCTACTTTGCACCATCCAGACTATTTCGAGTCAAGCGAGCTACCATTACACCATCACCCAAATCATTCCCACTTCATCGCCGTGTTACTCGTGAGGGCTTACACGAAGTCACGATGGCGCCCTCGAAAGTTGCCCAGCTACAGAAGGGTCGCGATGTCGACTTGGCTGAGCCCTTTGACAAAGACACTCGAAGGATCTTGCAAAAGACCGTTGCCGACCTGATGCGCAAGAGAGGCCAGATTAACAGCAAGATGACGAAGGCATTGGAGAGTACCAGTCAGTCTAGCGATGCTCAGTATCAGGAAAATTTCCTACTTCAGCTCTCACTCCGCGAGAAGGCCAAAGAGAAAAAGTTCATCCGCCGTCAGACCAAAGTCCTGGATGGGAGACAGAAGATGCTGGACATGGATCCTTCGGACGCTAGAGAGAGGGATGTCGACCTACTCAAAAGCCTTCTGTCGAAATTGAGAGACGAATCCAGCACCTCGAGCGAGGGACTCAAGCACAAATCAAAGGACGGCGACAGTTCTTCCGTTGACTGGGACACTGAGGGTTCGGAAGACGATAATGACGATTACCACAGCGCTCTCGAGAATGATCTGAGTGCCAGTCCTCTTGTGCCGGACGCCACCAGCAACAAGTCCTAGAAGGACAAGGATGTCGCGGTGATTGGCAGTACGAAGAAGGAGAAGCGAAAGCGCGACGATGATACCCCCCAACCCTCCAAGAAGTTGAAGAACGGTCATTTCGACAAGGACACCCAGCTACAGGGAGAAAAGGCTCAGCATGACGGTGACAGCAAGCGCAAGAAGAAGCACAAAAAGCCCAAGAGCATCTCACCTATTGAGATGAGTACCGAGGACCACCATGACATCCCGAAGGCCATTTCACACAGTATCACAGTTAATGGCGTCGAGCATGCCGAGGACACTAGCTCTGGTTCTGATGTCGCAAAGGGACTGAAGAAGACGAAGAAGAAGTCCAAGTCCAAGTCAGCCATAGCTAGTCTTGTCGAACACGGAAACGAAGCTGATAGTGCCGAGGCTTCGCCTATTCACCAGAAGGCCGAGGGCCAGAAGAACGCATCTGCAAGGTCTGCCGAGGTGAAGGGAAAGAAGGACAAGAAGAAGCACAAGAAGTCTCGTTCCCATGCTGTTACTGATATCGGCAAAGAGGAGCAGGGCCACGGTTCTGAGGCCGTCCCCACTCCTGAAGTATTCGACATGAAGGACACGCCTGTTCTCACTCGCGAGGCCAAGAACGACAAGAAAAAGAAGAAGCAGAAGAAGACCAAGCATACAGAGTTTGCCCCTGCTATTACAGTCATCAACGACGTCAATGAACACGAGCAACTGAGTGTGGCTGAAGCTAGCCCCGGAAGTGAGAACGCCAAGGATGGCGAGGTACCCAAGAAATACAAGAAACCCAAGAAGGCGGGACAAGTCTCGGACAACGTTGTCGCCAAGGAAGACAAGGCCAATACTGAGCGAGGCACCCCGATTCACAATGCAAAGGTCGCTGAGCTCACGGTTGTTGAGGGAAAGAAGGAAAAGAAGCTGCGAAACAAGTCGCTCTCGATCGCCGAGAAGGATGAACAGTCCGCCACGCCAGACAAGATCAAGGATACCAAGACCTCCATCGACGGCCCCCAGAAGGCGACGTCGTCCCCCAGCACAGCGTTGAAGGGACCTACTCGCATTCCTATTCCAGCCACTCCGGACAATCGGGGATCTTTCATTCGCACAGCTGGCCGTACGCCTTTCAACCCTTTCTTGAACTTGAAGCCTCACAGCGTTCAGCATCCTGCGCCTAGCTTCGTTCCTGAGAAGTCGCCGAAATCTCCGGGTGGCCAGGTCTGGGTTCTTGACACTACTGGATCGCGCAAGCAGAACAATATTCATGAGGACGACGCGAAGAGCGTGACCCTGACCATTGGCAAAGTTGACACCCCACACAAGTTCGATCAGGGCTCCCCGACGCCCCCTCCCAAGAAGGAGCAGAAGAAGCGAGGACGGCCCAAAAAAATCAAGGAGCCTCTTGCCCCTGTGAGCCCTCACCGCGCGGGTTCCGCTACCAAGGCTACAACTTCACGTGCGCGTGCCAGCAGCGACCTTGCTGCGCTTTTGGGCAGCCCCAAGCGAGCCAAGAAGCTCCAGAAGGTGCTCAAGGATGATAAGGCAATGCTCGAGCAAGAGAAGAAGAGCTGGTACAAGGCGGTGGGCTTGGATTACAAGGACTGAGTATAATCTCTAGATGTAAATTGTATTGGCTCGCATTACTGCGCAACAAGCACCGTTACAGAGTTAGATATCAACAGAATGCGCCTGAGGAGGTCTGCGGGGTTTGCTTTCTAAGTGTATCGATAGGAGATGATGGCAATTCAAGACATATCACCTATGACGTCCGTCGTGTGACGATGCACTACTGAATAGTGGCTCGGCCTTGATGTGGATATAGGAAATTTCATTTCACTTCTCGGCCATTTCGTGAGGCCAGAGTCCCATGTTATTGTACAAAGAATGTAGATCCTTAGATCGCCCGGAAACCAATCTGCGGCTTCAACCGTTGATAAAACACAAAGAAGACCCACCCATTAAAAACGTCCCTTATTGCGGTCACACTCCTCCAGGAATCTGTATATGCCCTCAAGCCCCTCATACCCATCAGAGCAGTCCTCACTGGTCTTTGGGGTGGGCGATACGCTTTCGTATCCCTCTGGGTCTGACATCCAAGAGTGCTCTTCCATCTCATCCATGAACGCCTCTTCCAAGTCGACATCGATGCCGGAAAGCGACCGCAGTGAACCGCCGGGCGAAGTGATGGTCTTGACATCGTCGTCAGGGGCGTATGGAAATTGAAGCGCCATCGGGACACCGTTCTCGATTTCAAAATCAGCGTCTTGACCCACAATACCGCGTTGAACGCCAGCATCATCACACAGCCGCTCGACGGTCTCGGCGTCAACTCCAGGGAATCGCACCCGAAGCACATTTTTCTTTTCCATCGTGACTGGCAAATCGCCCAACATAGCAAGCCTCTTTAGGTCTGCGAAGACGACGGCGAGGTCCTTGAGAGCGCGAGCAAAGTCAATGGACAGAACGTCGAGGAAGCCGTCCTCGTTGAGGGTGGTGGTGGGGGCCTCGGCGTTAGCGGAAGTGAAACCCGCAGCGGCGGCGGCAGCCAGGGGGCTGAGGGCCGTGACGGTGGGGCTGATGTGGAAGTCGACAAAGGAGCCGGGGTTCCCGCGGGCGGCGGCCCCCATCGTCTTGACGTAGGCGGCCTGCTCAAGCTCCGAGACGGCGCGGTAGCGCTTGTCGCCGCGGGCGTTGAGGCCGTCGTAGCGCACCTTTTGGCCGGAGAGGCAGAAGGCGCGCATCGCGACGGAGACGTTCTGGATCACCTGCGCGGAGCCGGCGGGCGTGTGCGAGAAGTAGCGGGCCCCGCCGCCGACGCTGTAGCCACCCTGGGTGCGGGCGATGGCACCGCCGGTGAGGTTCGGTCGGAGTGTGCTCGCAAAGGGGGCGCGGCCGGTCATCTGGCCCACGCGGCGGGATGTGTTTGAGCTCGGGAACGATGCCCGACTGAAGCGTGCGCTGTTGCCGCCGGGGTTGCCGCTTGTGGAGATCCATCGACGGACGGTATTGTTGATGCTCTGGGTCGAGTACCAGCGTCCCGCGCGCTTCTGTCTGATAAGAGCGGCCGGGTGGATGGGCTGTCGGCCGGTCGGCGTCGCGCGGATGGGGATATGTGCGAGCTCGCCCTGGACGGCTGGGCGGGTTGCGTTTGCGAGTTTGGTTCGTATCATCTTTGTCGTTCTGGTGATGCCCACGCGGAGGAGGCGTAGGGCTGCTGGAGCCCATATACCCCCCGCGGCAGACATTTTGGCGGGTTTGTTTGGAGTGACTCCTAAGAGATCACGACCGATTGAAGGGACGTCAAGGTCGAGTCGAACAGTGCCGTGCCTGGAGCTATGTCCTTGTGAAAGGAGGAAGACCTGGGGCAGGACGGGAGATCGCGGGGAGCACTTATAAGGAGGGAGGCGATAAGATAGACTTCGCCACCTGAGGTTGTCAGCACAGATTCCCGGAAGCACCGCCACAGGCATACTAATGGACAGGAGCACCGCTAGTCCCAGATTGGCTAGCGCATTCTCGCGAGGTAGGACCCCCACTCTGGATTTTTTTTCTTTCCTTTAAATTTTCCACGAAGCTCTTCCAACTGCTGCAGACTTCTCTTTTCCATACTCAACAAGGTCAATCACAAAGAACTCTCCCTCTGCCTGTCATTGCGCAAACGCCAGTCTGGCGCGCGTCTGGCAGGCATTGGGAATACTTCCAATTGGTAAGTTTTATCTTTTTCGTCTCACGAGAGTTCACCTGGTTTCTTTTGTCTTTTTGCATGATGATTGGAAACAACATTGAACAATCCAAATCAGACCTATTTCCATGGTGTGACACTTTTCTTAGAACTGAGCAAATTCTTGCGCAGCTTCCTGTCTTCTTCGCGTCTATGGAGCTGTGGGACCAAAGCTAACGCGCAACAGAATTTTCTCTTCAGAATTTTCAATCGCTTCAAAATGTGAAGCTCTTGCTTTTGACACTATTTTCAAAAGGTTCGTTTGCACTTTTCTGTCTCTTCAGCCCCCCTTCCCCCGTTGCCTCTATATGATGAACACTTCGTACACCATAGGGATTCCTCATGCAGAATACATAATGTTGAATCCGGTGCAATAGTTTCAGCCTTGTCTGATCTAGAGCCAAAACCTTACCTTTTTGCTCGCATCTATCCAGGTAGCATCCAAGCTAACTTCAGTCGGATAGGTAAATACACCTTCCAGGTTCAGCCTCAATACTTTCCTTCCCCCACAAGCAAACACCACAATGAGGAAGATTTGAACGAACGGGCGGACATAAACGAACCTCGATGCCCCTCGCCAGAAACAAACGGAGCGTACAAACTCTGTGGTGTTGGGTTTCGGGGCTTCTTGTTGAGATCGATCGTCAACTGATCGTGGTTACCAATTCTTGCTTGGGTTCACGGGTCACTATTCTGCGTTCTTGCGCCGGAGAGTGGCCTTTTGAAAGCTTGCGTTCATCTGGTTGAGGCTGGCAATGCTGACTGTTCTCGACGCAGGTAAACTTTTTTTCCTCTTCTGTTGCCATGACGGCGACCGTGTTCAGTCTCTTGATACTACTATGATGAGTTGATCAAGTATTCACACTGTTTGACTGGCGCTCACTTCGGTGTTTGCTGGACATGAACGTAATTAACACTTTCTGATATTGAGGTATTTCAAACTCACATCTCACATCTCTTGGACAGCATCACTAACTGCCCACAGACCGTTCACTTGGTGTTTGCTTCACACATGCCTGACAAGTCGCTGACCCGCGACATAGGTATTTTGCTTGTACTGATATTTTTCGTTTTGCTATGATACCCAAATGGTAGGTCTACAATTTTTTTTCGTACTTTTTCTGTTGCAAGCGCAATGCCCACCGTCTCACGGATGACCTTTTATTAGCTCTAGTACTGAATATCATGAAAGAGAAAACATAAACCGATTCACCTTGGAGAACTGATCGAGACCTGTCATTTTTACATTCTGTTTTGCAATTTCTTTGGCAAAACATTTCGCTAACATGACAACTTCTAGGAACCTGGACCCTTTGCGGAGACCTGATCTACCTTCCATAGTTGATGGCTTGATAGTAAAAAACAATATTCTCATCACAGCATCTTTTTCTGTCGCTTCGCTGTCTGATCGTGTAATGATGCCTTGCCTCCCTTGATATCCACAACCCTTGCGCCAGTCTCCAATCGCACACCACGGCCCAGACACACCTAGTGCTTGAGCTGCAGACGCGCGTTCATGCCCACGATACACCTGATCAAATCCCAATCGCCGTGCGCGCCAACCCAATCCGTGACAATGATACCCGTCGCCGCGTCGCCGACGTTGAGTTGATGCGGGCCTTTGCCCGGCTCGCCGTGGCGTATGCAGAGGTACTCGATGACGGCAGGGTTCACTTTGGCGGCGATGCGCTCTGGCCAGCAGGTGGCATTGAAGAAGTTGCTCGCGCTCAAAAAGTTGACGAAAAAGGGCAGCGGCGGGGCGTCGGCGTTGAAGTCGGGCATGCCGGGGAGGTGGAAGAGCTGCTCGGCGGCGCGCTCGAGCTGGCCGTGGGAGAAGTTGATCTTCTTTTCGACGTTTGTCGACTGGTCGATTTCGTAAAAGTCCTGGACGCGGATGAGGCCGCCGCCGACGGTGCCGTCCTCGCAGTTGTCGGGCCAGTTCTGGGCGTCGATGGCCCAGCCGCGGCCGTCGTGCTCGCCGCGTAAGGGTTCGTCGAGGCCGAAGCGGCGGATGAGCACGATGCGGCCGCGGCAGTCGCCGAGGTGCGGGATGCGCGGCTCGATGAACCAGCGGTGGGCGTCGCGGCCGACGTAGCGGTCGCGGAGGTAGCGGCTGAGCTGCTCGTCGTTGCCCTTGCCTGTGCCCTCGCGCTTGACGGACATGAGGACCGTCTCGGAGGGGTTGGCGTCCAGGTAGGCGTAGATGTCGGAGAGCATGTCGGCAAAGTACTTGTTGCCGGTCAGGGAGATGGGGAAGGCGGAGTGGACGAGGGCGAGGTCGTCGTTGTCCTGGGAGACGGAGACTCTGATGTCGAGGAAGCGGACGCCGTTGTCGAGCTGCTCGCGGACGCCGACGGCTTGGCAGCGGACGGAGGGCAGCGCCGTGTAACACGTCGGCGAGTTGTGGGTGCCGGGAATGGAGAGGAGGGGCAGCGGGTATTCGTCGCGCAGCTCGTGCATCCAGGCATTGAGGTTTGCGGACGACATGATGGCGAGGAATGCGCCATTGGCCACGTAGACGGCCGTCAGCTCCAGAGGCGCATCGTCGAGCTTCTTCATGACGGAAGAGCGGTTGGTGGGGCTCGGGGCGTCGATCTCATAACGGTGGCCCTCGATTTCGAATTGGAGACGAACGACATCGTGGTTTCCAATGTCTGGTGCGCCAATTTCGGTGCCGCTGATGGCGAATGGCTCGACATGAACATCGACGTCTTCGGTCTGGTGGGCATCTCCCTTTGCGTGGGTCTCTTTGGTGGTGAAGTTGGTCGCGTTCATGAAGGAGCCAATGGTACCAAAGGTGTTGCCGAGGAAGTCTCCGGTGCGCTTCCTCTCACCCTCGAAGCGTTCGACGCGCTTGAGGGTGGCTGGCAGGGCCGTGAGGTTGCGGATAGTGATGTTCGTCATGGCGGCGGTCTCGAGCAAGGGGGAGGAGGGGGAGGGGAGAAGAAGTGAGAAGCAGTTACCCATCGTGGAGGAGGATTTTCACGGGGGTTTAGAGCCCCTCGGCGGGCTTCATGTACGCGTGTTCCGGGGTACAGAGCCGTCTTGGAAGGCTTGGGAGGGCCGTTACTTGCATGTAAAATGGGGCTCTTTTGGAGCTGCTGCTGGGCTGACCTACGGCCAAGGAAGGGCGTTGCAACGGTTGGCTGGGTGGGATTGAATGTCTCGTCGCGGGATGCAGGCCGAGTCGGCACGAACAAGGTACCGTACCTATGGATAGGTACGGAGTACTGAACGCAGTATGTTCAGCTCAGCTAGACCGGGGCTTCCTCACAGTCACAACAATGATTCAGGATCGGTAACACCGCAAGCAGCAAAGATGTCTTTGGTGCGATTGACGTCGCAATATGATGCGCCGTAGCGCTGCTGGTTTGGAGTAGAGCTGGCCGTTAGTGTCCTGAAACTGGACGTGATTCGCCAGCAGTGACAGACAGAAGCCGTTCTTGCAATTGGCGCCGCTTATTGGGCCGTTGGGAGCTGCCAGTTGTGTGTAAGAGCTGAACTCTGGGGTGTTCCTGGTTGTCCTGCAACCTACGCCATGGGTTAGCTGGGACGCGACCGTATGGAGACTGACGGCGACAGTTCGGACCGAAGAGTAGCTGAAGTAAGGTAAGGTATATGGTGTGGGAAACAAGGAAGGGCAGACCTGGAGGCAGAGATGAAGTGGTCGGGGCCTGCTGTCCGTCTTGTCAGCCAAGGTTAGGTTGATCAAGATCTGATGCTTGGAATTAGTCGAGTCAAAACAAGAGACGATTTTGGCCTCCAACGGGACGGACGGGAAATAGCGTTTAGGTTCCGCAGAATGCACGTCCTTTGGCTTACTCCCGGTGCCCGGGTGGATTGCAGCAGGCAGGGCAGCCTATGATATCTTTGCCCGTATTAATCCCTGAAGCAGTCAGATCCTCCAAGTGAATCCTAAATTTTCGTATACGTGGACGTAAGCGACCTCGCTTCAGTAGCAAACCCACCTTCCTCCTTCAACGACCTCATTCATGATTGCAGAAAGGACTTTGGTCTTTGCTGTGCCTCAAGTTATGTCCTTTCTTTCTGCTCGACGGCTCGGTGGATGAGAGAGCCATTCGCTTTCCAACTCCCTCACGCCGTACTCCTCTGCTCGAGATACACTCCTTGAACTATCATGGAGTAAGAAACTATCAGATCTCAGCTTTAAATCTCCACAGCTAAACCCAACTTGGGCGTCTCACCCGTCCCGCTCGTGTTCGTGGCATGATGGCATCAGATTCGGGCGGCAGGCCCTGGTCGAGCTTTGAGGCACCACGATGAAGTCTGCAATACCCGCCCTTCTGCCTATTCTCGCCAAGACCTCGTGGAGGGGCAAAGGGCTGAAATGCATGGCTAGACTCATGAGTTCGGTCCCTAGTTGGTCTGCATTCGTGTATAAATAATCATTTGCCTCTCGTGAGCTCTTGACTAATGCCCCCTTCACTCTTCCTCGTGATAATCCTTCCTCAACACCTCAGCTTCTTCTCAACTACCCTCAAAATGATCAACCTTCCCTCCATCGCCGTAGGCCTCGCCGTCGCTGCTACGGCGGCTGCCGCAGCCGACGTTCCAACGCTCAATAGCTGGCCTCAATACAATCATGGCGGCTGGTACAACCACACCGACGGCGACGTCACCACCTACGGCGCCCCCGAAATCACCTCTCTCGAAGGCACGCCCTACGCTAGATTCTCCTTCCTCTTCAACAGCGCCGACCCCCCCTACGCCGGCCTCTACGTTCAGTCCTCGACCGAGGACTTCATCACCGACTACGAGGTGGAAGGCTACGGCTGGGGCAAACCCACCGTCACCGGCAAGGTATGCGGCGCCAAGGGCAACTTCACCTTTGTCCAGCTATTCGGCCCCGACGGTCTGCCCAATACAAAGGCTACCGACACCATGTTCCTCAACGTCTACGCTGCCAAGAACAATGCCTCGCGGGCCGTCATCAACGAGGTCTGGCCCGTCTGGGTTGGAGACGACATCTTCAACCCGGACAACACCTCTCCTTGCCCGGCTCCTGCCGCCAAGACTAAGAGGTGGTCTGCTTAGTCTGAACTGTTCGCTGCTGGAACACCAGGAGAACACTGGGGTCACAGTTAGAGAAGAGGCCAGGAAATAATTGAGGAAGACAGGCCAGGCAAGAGGTGGTGGTCAGGAAATAAGAGACAAGGACGGGTTTAATCGAGAGGCTGTTCACGCCATTAAGCCATATACACGAAAGTAATGAATATCTGATCAATACATAATAAGCATGAAGGCTTCTTCACGTCTTCTATTCTTCTTATAAGGCCCAATATAATATAAGGTAGTGAGGTTCTAGGCGAGTATCCAGCCTAATTTCTCTCAGTAGCAAACGCTGCTATTATTAACGCCTCTTTAAATTCCACACATTTTAATAACGGTCTCCAGACTACACCTCTTAACTAAAGCTTGTGAGAATCACTCAATTACTCCTTTACCGGAGTGATTAGGTCAATAGGCGTGTTGCTTTTGACGATAGTGAACGCGACTAACAAACGAGCATGAGACCAGCAAGCACGCAAACGAGCACACCTTGTCCGCATGAATATTTCAAGCGCGCCCTTCATCCTCGACCTCTCCCTGCTCTATCGCAACCATAATCGCCTTCGTCTCCTTAAGGCACTCCTCCTTTCGATACTCTTGCGAATTGGGCCAGCCGTGGCGCTGGTAAGCGTCCTGGAGCGCCGGGACAGGATTTCTCGTCATCGTGCTCTCCGAATCCAAGACCTCGTACTCGTTCCACGGCACCCAGCGCAGAAAGCGGTACTCGGCCTTGAGCACCTTGAAGAAGTCGGCGACAGACCAGGCGGCGCCGTCGGCACGCCACTCGGCGTCTTCCTCGTCGTCGCAGTAGTCGTACGGGTCATCCTCGATGCACCGGGGCCCATCGCGGAGCCGGCCAGGACACTCTGGCCAGTAGATGACGCCAAGCTCCGTGTCAATCAGGAAGGTATGGTGCTCGCTCATGGTCAGTCCGACGACGCTCTCGGGCACGTGCTCCGTGATGGCGGGGCCTTCGGTGATGGTGCGAAGCTCGTCGATGTCGCTGCCGCCCTCGCGTACCCAGGTGCCGGAGATGCGCCAGTCTATCCAACGGCCCCCCGGGGCGATTTCTGGTATCTCGCTATCGTCAAGATCTTGGCGGATGTACGGTAGGTGTGAAAGCAGGCTCAATACCTCCTCCGACTTGCCCAGGCCCTGTAGATCGGATGCCAACGTTGGCCACCCTCCTGGCGGCGGGTGCACGACAGCCGACTCGGGAAGGTACATTTTGGTCAGAAAGGCGTAGAAGTCGGTCACGGCGGCGACTGTGGCCTCCTCCGAGTACTCGACTTGGTCAAGCGTCCGCATCTCGTCTTCGTGTTGTGGTTAAAGACCTTAACAGTTTGCCCCGTTTTCAACTCGGCTTTCTTGAGTTCATGAGAAGGAATTGTATAAAATTGTACTTGCTTTCCAGGAGTTGAACCAAACGTATTTTGAGAAGAAATATGAAAAGCGAGGATGGGAAGACGGCAAACGGGCTAGACGAGAAGAAGGAGCTGTGCCGTACGTCTTAGATAAGCGGTCTTATTGTAACCTCAACTGCTAGGGGCGATCCTGATGATAATTTAGACCCCCGTCCTCGTTTTTCTTCCCCGGTCCGATCAACATGATCTTTCTACATTAAGTTCGTCATGATTTTATGGTCATGTTATTGAGGGTTGGCTAACCTTCCAAGAGCGCCTAACAACGAAGGGAAAGCTTCGCATCTAACCCACTGGCCATTCCGACTTACACACTTCGGAGGAATCCATGGTGTTCACCTAATTCCTCCTTCTTCCGTGCCATTTGCGCAACAGTACACCATAATTGACCCCGTTTCAGTATTATGGCCTCTCTGCCGACGTGCATACCGACATTAGTGCTTTTTTTTTGTGTTGGTTATGTGATAGTTCAGAATCTCGACGGTAGACCGCCACCCAGACAATTCAATCTCAAGGTCCCTTTGGACTTGAAGCCTATGTTTTGAGACTTTCCCAACGCGTGAATTACACGTGGGTTGTAGTGTGCGCCATTGTAAGGCGATATGAGAAGTACATGTGTCATATCAATTAGCCGTTACTCTCAACGTGAGAAAAGTGGCTGAGACCTCAGCCGCATTTCACTTATGGTGACCACAGCTGTCAAGCCAAAATGAAAAACCGCCAAGAAGTATTCACCATCAGCATGACCAATGTTGACCTGGCTTTTGAATTGCAATGTGGTATGGCATTTCGTCTGGATCTTCGCAGGAATGGCAAGGGACTTTCCCATTCCCACTCTGCAAATTCAGCTAATATTTAAGCTTGTTTTAGTGCAACGAAGAATGCGGCTGTTTAAACGGCTTGCCCAGCCTCCGCTGGGATGAGTCGTGCGGAAGTCAATAAGCTCTTTGTTCTGGCATTCTCAGTTGGTGCTGTCACACGTCACATACGACTCTTCAGATCTGTCCATCTCCTTCGGCAGCCAAGACAGATATCAGAATGCCGTGGATACCTGGAATATTGATGACGGCCTAATCTTGGTCGTCTTCGCCAAAGTTGCGGTGATGACGAAAAGGGCGACCGCTGTTTCTTCCGCGTATCTTCACTCAAGTTTCACGGAGGAGATCTTATTGTAACGGCCTCCGGAACTCCCAGTCATCCTGACGATATTATCCCTATTGGTGAAACTGAATGGGGTCGTTGGATTCCCCGAGGGCACCACCCGCAACCTTCGACAGCGTCTGAACCAACATTCACTTGGGGATCCGCACCGGTCGCCACATCTGGCAGTGCTATACCTGATGCCGGTTCAGCCTCTTTTGAAGGATCAGGTCCCCCTAGCACGACCAGATCACCTTCGATTGTGCTCGTAACAGCTGGTCTGCCCGGAACTCCTGGCAACCCACTATCAAACAGCTCTTCTGCGGGGAACTCCTCCAGTTTGCAGGCATCACGCAACTGTGACGCTCCAGTAGACACCAAGTACGGACTTCCAACAGCCTGTCTTGGTGAATACTTCGGCGAGGATCTCGATGATGACCTAGGGTACAACGATTTGAGCGCCGAGAGTATCAGATTCGTTCAGAAGATTGCCCCTCAGTTCATCCAGGAATCTATCCTAGAGGATTTCAAGTACGCCATTGATCCAGAGGACACCTTCTGGAAACAACGCTGGCATCTCCACGGGCGATCATTCTGGTCTTTCCTAGACGTCATCGTGAAGCCTCTCGAGGCAATTTACCACGCCACGCAACAACTTCTCTCAACCGGAGGTTCCATCAACAAAGATATCTCTTGGTAGCTCCCCGAATCCACGTCCGCGAACCCCGACGGAAAAAAGCTCACCGATCCCAAGACTAAGCAGGTCAAATCTCCGTGGGGCGATTCGATCCTCTGAAAGCGCTAGGTTCTCAGGAGGAGGACCCTGAAAAGACGGTTAACGGGATAAATGAACATTTTCTGCGTCGAATGCGGTGCGTCTGGTAACGCCAAAATCGCTGGTCGAGCCCGCTGGACTCTTCTTGGCGGATTTCTCAAGGGCGAAGTCTACATCAGGACGGATATCAACTTTGTTCTGAAGATAGGCATGCGCTCAAATCACATACAAGGAGGAGTTCTACAACGACTTGATCAACGTGGATTTACCTGGATTGTCTTATGGTGTTGTTACCATCGGGCCGCGTATCAACGTCGAATCACGCGTCGAGGTCGAAGCAGCGGCTAAGGGCAAACTACTGGTGGGAGCTGAAATGGGCCATCAAGGGTGTTGCTCAAGTTGCAGCTTCGATTGGACATTCTGGGGCGGGCAGCTTCCAGGGCGAATTTACCGAAACGGACGGCTGTACAGGCATCAGCACGCGAATTAGCTGTCGTAACAGATTAGAGTCTTGGGTTTGAAGGAGATAAATTTGTTGGATACCGGCGATCGTCCACTGACTCGTGAATGCATACCATGAGTTGCTTCCTCTACTATCCCTACCACTTCACGGGGTCCTCTGGGCTGACAACATTAGACTACCCTCTAACTTCACAAAGCGGCATAGTAGACGTCGACAAACTTCCGAGCCCAGAAAACCGGTTATTGACATCACACACAAATACAAGGGGGGCTCCTCTACCCTTTCTTATGAGCTTGAGTCCCTTCCGATTTCGGGCTACAATGATACCAACGGATACGAATATTCTCTATCATTCCTTGCAGCAACGGCAACTTATACGCAGACCTCACCGGCGGACCAGACAATGAACTATGCTCGGAGCTGTGGGCTCATCAAAATGACGCCCTCATCTACGACGGAGCTCAGCGATTGATGCACTACTATGGCACTACCATGGCAAAGCTCGGCGTTTCCAGGCTAAGAGTCGAAGCTGAGCTGCATGGCCCAACCGATAGTGTCGTTGTCGCGTGGGCTTCTTACTACGGTGGCCCCGGCCCTGAAGAGTACTACTTTGTTGCTGTTGACCCTCTTGGCGAGGTTTTCTATCCTGCGGTCTGCGACTATGTTGACGGGCAATCGCCAAAGCTTTTCCTGGTTCGTGACCCAGTTGAGGGGATCGAGACACTCGAGAGTCCTGATCTCATGTACACCGTTACTGGTGGCCGGGTTAGTGATTGCTTTGCCTTGGTATTGATGCAGGGTGCCCATGAGGCCAAGAGCTACCTCAACTTGAGTAATTCTCTCAACAGCCGGGGCTGATTTGATTGGTTCCTAAATTCAGTATTCGGAACTCTCCTATGTTGATGCTCTTCTCGAGGGTTGCGCCGTTAGGCTGGAATTATACAACAATTCACGGGAATAACCTTTGGCGAAGCAATTCATTGTCAGAATGTGACATTGCTTATGTACTGTCCTATCATGCCGGTACCCAGATGGATGAGCTCACTCATACAGTTGCTAGCAGTTACTGACTCGCCAGTCTGCAGTCAGGTTTATGCAGTGTTGTAGAACTATGGGGTCAATGACCTTGCGTCGCTGAACCCTCCGTCCGCGGCCACATTTCCTAAATCAGGCAATGCGTAATGTTTGTGTAACGATGTAGAGTAAATGACGGGGAAGACAAGGAGCGCGGCTTGGCTCCCCCGGCGCGCTAGGACCTGGTGCCAGACAGTCGGAACAACCACCCCTTAAACGTAGCAAACAGGTGGTGTGGATACGGCAAACGTCTAAGAAGTGTGGTGGATGTACGGAGATGAGGAAAGAAGAGGATAGACGTCAAGATTTTGGTACCCTGGACCTTTATCACATGCCGGCTTGCTCAAACCTCGATACTCGGGACTCCGATCTCACAGATCAACGGGGAAGTTAAAAGACCTTGTCATTCAGATGAAGAAAGCAGTTATGTGCTAAAGAATACATTAGGGATGATTTTGCAATTGTGAATATAAGTTGGCTCAGTACAAACGTTGGATTTTCATTACAGCGAGCTGACTGTGATCGAGTTTTCGACCTCATCTAGATCGATCTAGATGGCTCCCTCTAGTCCCGCCCATACCTCGGCACTATGATATTTACTCAATCCTAGTGTCCCATATGTTTTGCGAGATCCTTGTAGCTTTGCGCCGCCGTTCCACCAAACAGCGACGCATAGTGACACTATGGCGAGCACCATTGAGGTCCCCTGACGATCAACGGCCTCAGCGTGGCATGACTCTGCGTTCCCTCGTTCTATCAATGCCGCCAGAGCTGGAATACCGAGGTTCATAAATTATCGCTCGAAAAAACTCCAGAGACCAACCGATAAAGACTCACTCCTCACTCCGAGCACGCTTATACACTGGGTGCTCAGGTGCATCCAGCTCTGAGGCCGGCCTCCTCCGATTCGGCAATGAAGGAGATGTCGCGGAATCGGTAGGCTCTCTCCGGGGTTGTCGGTGAGGTGGTTTCTTTTGAGTATGCGTCCCACGACGAAGAAACTCTGTGATGACTGCTTCCGTGCCAATGACATTTGACGATCCCCTCACAGTGATGCCTGCATCAACTTCCAGCTTCAATGGTCTTGGCCGCCCATTTTCGTCTATCAAGGGACACCCGACTGTCCAATCTCTTTCATAAATGGCATCGACTATCGCTTTCGCAATGGAGTTGGCCTGTACTGCAGGCGAATAGGGTAGGGCGATGAGGTTGCTATCGCTAGCCACGTCGATTCGTGTTGAGATACGCAGGGAAATGGGCGATGGCTCTTCTTCTTCCTCTTCCTCGTCGACATCTAAGATCGAATCTTGCGGAAGACGAGAGGCCCGTTGACTATATTGGCTGTCATTTGTAACATCCCGCCTCACGAAGTGGGATGCGACGCTGCTGAAGACCATCGGTTGTGCCTGCGGAGAGTATGCTGGAGGCTGAGGCTGTCTCCAGGGACCATTATCCTTGGGTATTGTCAGAGCATGAAGGCCTGACAGTAGAGTGAGTTGTTGGGTCTGGATGCTTTCGGTGGCTGAAGCCATCATCGGCTATGGCAATGCGTAGAGAAGAAGTAGTGATGAGGTAAGGCCACGCAGCAGTGTCGTCAAAGTCCCGAGTTTTGGCAAGTTGACAGAGACGCCTTTAGCTCGTTTTATCTTTCGCCTTTCCTCTCGAAATTAAGATATGAAGTGAAACAAGATGCAATGCGTATGTGAGATGAGAAGAAGTAGTAGTAGTAGTAGTCGATATATAACTACTTCCTTGGGCATATGACAACACACTCAAGGTAAGACCAGGTTTCTTTAGCGGAGATGTGACAGAAAGACGCCGGACGTGGGAAGTAACATTGAAAGTCAGCTTTCCCTGTTCAGTTGGTAGAACGGAACGTTCAAGTGGGCAGTGGCTCCCCCGTTCTGGTGGGTAGGCCGAAGAAAACACCAGGCAAGCACAATGGGCCCCGTTCCATCACTCATCAACGAGCCATCATCTCTCACTTTTTGCTATCCAGCTCCACCTTGGACATTCTTTCACAGACACACGGTGTAAGCGCAGAAGCAAGATCCTAACCACCACTATCCACTGTGAGCTTGTTTGAGCTCCCAGAGTAGGATGAGTTGGGCCGGCTGCCCTCAAGTCTCCGTTTAACCCAGGCCTGCTTCTCTTGCTCGGACCACACCTTTGTGGTCACCGGTAGCGAAACAAGACCCAACCATTCGGCGCCAGAACAAGGATGTGGCGGATCCCGACGATGCTTGTTGCGCCAAAAACACGCCGATCGAAGGAAAAAATTAACCCAGATATATCCCCAAGAGAGCAATTGCCCACATGGCGAGGGACATGCCCTCATGCCTGAACAGGGCAAGGCGGAAGATGTCCGGTCCTCTCTACGACAATTGCCAATGTGAGCAGCCCTCCCCTGTCTCCGGCGCATCGAAAAGCCGGCCAACACTAAAGGAAAGTTTGACACTTCACACCGCTGAATGGCGTTACCAGTTTATTGTTCTCCCCGGAAAGCTGCATTGCTGATGGGCGTAGACTAAGGGGGGGTGCGGAAGCCGGAGGGGCCACACGGAGCATCGACCCACTTTACGGAACGCCTCTTCCCATTGTGGTGGCACGGTGGAGCCCCCCGATTGACATTGTTCTCGGATGTGTGTGGGGCAACGTTGCTATTGTCTAACGCCTTCGGCCCCTTCGCTTCGCAACCACACCTGCCGGCCGAGGGATCGCACCGCCCGTCGTACCCCAGCGGCAACCCGTCCCGAAGCAGTTGGATCGAGTCTCGGATCTCCCAGCCATGAACCACTCCTTCGGTTCTTCCCACCCCTCCCCCCGATGCATTTTGCCCTTCCCGAATTTCCTCGAGCAAGATGAAGAGATCCCCTTTCACCCATCCCGTTAAATCACACAGCCCCTGCCAGGCCACTAACTCCGGCACCGGCCATTGTTGGCGTTGTTGGAACTGATCTGATTATGAGCTGTTGGAACGACTTGTGACTTATTCCGGCGTGCATCGATATTTGCAAAAGGCGAAGTTGGTCGACTGCGGCTGATACTGGACAAGAGCTTCAGAGGCTTGCACCATTCCTCTCGGCATGCTGTCTTCCATGGTGCCGGGATCTTTTAATAATGAAGCTCCTCGAGGTGAATCTTGGCTGGCGGTGCTCCTTGACATTGCCAATCACCTTCCACGTCGACGGATAGGCAGGCGACTCGATACAATATCCCCTGTCCTCCAGGAGGCTGGCAGCGAGTCGCAAAGCAATGCCATGGCAGAAATAGTGAACTTTGACGAGTCCGAATTTTCTGTCCAGGGTAGCGCGGAATTAGACCGGCCTTACAGGTCCCTGTTGTCTTCGTTCGCTCGCTTCAATCAGCAGAGCAGGGTGGGTGTGGCACATCGTACCCTGTGCTGCCATCCATTCCAATTCCCAACGCTTCTACACTCGGCCGTAAGGAAGACCAAATCCCTACGGTGTTTGAAAGATGTTTGCCAAATCGCCATAGAATGATATTCGTCATTCCATCACGAGCATGTTGGCTTGTGGTGACACAACGTAGCATGCCTGCTGCATCTGCATGCCAATCATGTTCATTAGACTTCTCGCAAATTAACATGCGATAAGCTACTCTAGCTTCAAGCTCGTTCACGATATTAAATACATATTCTAGAATGATTTCAAAGGACTGACGGACCCAATCACGAACTCACTTATACCGGGTCAACAACCAACGTAGTTATCCACCAGCCACCGGGCTCTTCAAGCAACGTACCACGTTTGATCTTCCCAAATCTGATCGCCGATTCTAAGTCCATTATCCCATCTTTGCCGGCTTCTCGTAGACCGGTATACGCCTCGTCACTTGGCTCGGTGTGATCAAGTTATCACTTCACAGCTCTGGTCCCATGACGAGAAGCCATCAGGTGCCGACTCATGAAACGCCAACATACCTGCACGTAACGTGGCGATCACGAACTAGTTCCAACTGCACATCTCTGATGCCGCTCGACTTACTCGGCATAGTGCCGACCAACCCACCAAAAAAGCAATGGCAAGTTCCCAAACATGATCCAGCTTGGTTTGCTTGGCGGAGCTAGGCTACTACTGTAATCGCGGACAAGCGCACATGTTCATGAGAAGAGTGTCGCCTTGACGCTGTTGCCTTTCTTTCTCCCGCTGAGCCGCCAAACCCACAGATATGTCGGTTGCTACTACAGTAGATTGACATTAATTAGCCCACGAAGCAACATTAACAACAGTAGCAACCTCAATGTGCTGGCGCGGATCCGCTTGCGGTATTCGGGATATCCACTGTGAAAGCCGAAAATGTTTCGAGGTAACTTTCTACAAACAGGCCATCTCCCCAATGCGCATCGGCCGTAGAAATCGTCTGGCTCATAGCGTACAACGCATACGCAAATCATCATTGAGACGGAGCTGGTTCCCCTCGTCTCTGGTTGGTTACCATTGGCATGGTTTGGCCTAATCTTCCCACGTCAAGCCCAAAACCTACGTTCCCCCCATCCCCCCATCCCACCACTAGCCCCTTCTCTTCTCTTTCTCTCTCCCTCTCTCACCCTCGTTTCCCCATTTGCTCGAACCACTTCCCATGCTTCACTCTAGATGAAGATCTCATCGCAACGCATGCTACTACGTGTGTGTCACGAACCTCACAGGAGCAAGCCCACCTAGTCAATTGTAGAAGGAAACGACAAGAGAGACAAGATCGAGTGGTTTGGGGTTTGGGGTTACACACGGGATCCCATCGTACTGCAAATTTAGTCGATATGACTGTCCCAAACAGGAAGCGTAAAAGGAAAGAATTCCGCCCAGCCAAGTCGAAGTCTGTTTCAGCCCTATTGTCGCGAACTTTTGTGTAACGTGTTCGTATGAGGTAACTACAGGAGCTCCAGATACTTCAGATGTCAGCTGATGGCAGCCCGCTACCATACAGTCAACGGCGCAAGTGAAAACTGAATTGTTGCTTAGGTTGATCACTTACCCACATCGGCAATCCCAAATGGAACTCATGAAGAGAAACTATGGGACTGCCAGAGTTGCCTCTTTGCGCTTTGTGAAGCTGGAAAACCCCCTTTTCTTTCAGACTCACCGCACCTTACGCAACGCAAACACCCCCCGGAGAGTCGTCAACTTCAGGAAGAGACACCGGGCCGCAATCTTGATACTGAACAGTGCTCCCGAACTTCACGGACCGCGACGGGGCCCGAGGAAGTATTCATCGATCGGAAGACTTTCCGCATTTCCCGTGGTTCCCGTGTTTGCGGCCCGAAGTTTCTGTGTGACGGTCTCCGGAGGTGGGGGTCTATTCAAGTCTTTATTTAGATCCTTGGGTGGGGGGGTTTAGCTAATACGATATGTTTGTTGGGAGGAAAGGGAGACAGATGATATTAAAATAGGGATTTCTCGTACGCCTATCAAGATACTGGGGAAAGTGACACAAGGAGGATTTTGAGTCTTTGTACTTGGTCGCAGAATATCACGCCTAGGCGCAAAAGGGCGGCTGGATCTCGACGAGGGCCACAAACATTTGAACTGAGATATTGGCTAATATCTCTTTGTCTCGTTGAAATTGTAAGTGTAGGAAAAGGATAAGTACTCCTCCCAAGGAGTATGGAACTACCTCAGAAACGACAACTTAGATAACAAGCCATTAGCAGTTTTCATAACATAGTTATCTATACTTGAAAATGGATCGCTTGGTCATTGGGACGAAGTGGCTCCGTTGTCAAAATTCAGAAGACATAGCTAGCTACAAAACACGCCAAACTCCCCAGCAGTCTCTCACTGATCAAGATTTCAGTACATCCAAGGCACACACGAGACCATCACGAAATAAAAATATGAAATTCCACTCATCTTCATACAGATATAGGAACCCAAAAACACAAAAATTGAAAGGGACGAGACTCGAACTCGCGCGGGTTGCCCCACCAGGAAACAGATGTTAAGCTGACCTTAACCTGGCGCCATAACCAACTCGGCCACCCTTCCGTACAGATCGCCCAGCTACGGTGGATTGCTCCACAGAGCCCGGTGGACATGTGTGACAGTACCGACGAGAAAGGGTTATATGAAGGGTCCAATCTTCGTGAGGGCGACGACATTGTGTGTTTGACTCTCATGGCATTTGACACAGCGAAACTTTTTGCCCGTTCTTTTGTGACATGTCAATTTGGCGGCACTCCCACCGGCGGAAACTCTGTCGAAAAGGTATACTCCGAATTAGACTTTCCGTCTTGCATGCTGAAAGCCTGACTTTGAGTCTCTGGACCAAAGTCACTTTCCCCTCCTTATCCGAGGATGTAGACAGTCAGTTGCGGGCGGGCAGTGTGGTAGTCTATCGACCGACATATGGCGTGCGCTCCGCTTCATGCCGTTGAGAAACATGTCTGGGATTTGCCTGCCTGTGTTGAGTCTAGGCTCCTTCTAGAACTGCAAGGGAACGTGCTGAGACACGTCGTGGAATCCAGGCGGTGAAGCTGGTAGAAGTGCTAGCCGTTCCTGGTCCATATCATTGGTTCACAATTGCACGTCTCAAAACGTCAAGTTCGTGAGATCCTCGTCTCTATTACCAGTAGCCAAATGGTCTACCTATCTACAAACCATGAGCCCTCTCCAAGCTCACATCATCCACCATGCCCAGAGATAAAAACCTCTGAGGCCTATCTCCCCCGGCTATTCGCCTCTGCCACCCTCAACCGCGCAAGAGATGGTCGGCTAGAAAACCAGGAAAGAAAAGATGTTGAAGTTCTTTTGTTTCCCCGTTAACGCCGTTGTAGATGCTTTGTTCCCCTTTCGAACAATCCGAAGGGTATCTTCTCATAATGCATTGCTCTTTTTGTGACTTTGGAAAAAAGAAAACGAAAAAAATCGCTTCAGGATTTGTTCCTGTGTAACCCGCTTTGTGTCTTTGTTGAAAGACGCCACCGCTCCCTTGTTCCGATTGTTTTTAACACCGTTTGACATAATATGAAAAAACGATCCTACCAAAAAGACCACGCCCTCGTGTCTTGATGTTGTTGTTGCTGCCTTTACCCGAAAAGGCTGGAAACCGGGATTCGTTGAGAACCGTACGCCATGTTTGAGTGCCTGTCCGCATGAATATCAAAATTATTATAAACGTCTAGGTCGTTGCAATGCAGGAAGCTTGTTGAAGAAATCCTGCTCGGTCCAGTACTAATTGACTTAGAACTTGAGAGTCTTGGGCTGCTCCCAGGTGAAGGTCTGGTTGGTACCGAAGTGACCGTTCTTGGCGGTCTGGAGGTAGATGGGACGGTCCAGGCTGAGCTCGCGGACAATGACACCGGGGCGGAGGTCAAAGTTGTCGCGGATGATCTTGACGAGATCATCGGAGGTCTTGTCGGAGGTGCCGTAGGTGTCGACGTAGATGGAAAGGGGCTCGGCGACACCAATGGCGTATGAGAGCTGGACAAGGGCACGGCGGGCAAGGCCGGCGTTGACCAGGGACTTGGCGATCCAGCGACCGACGTAGGCAGCGGAACGATCGACCTTGGAGAAATCCTTGCCGGAGAAGGCACCACCACCGTGAGCACCCCAGCCACCGTAGGTGTCGACAATGATCTTGCGACCGGTCAAACCGGCGTCACCCTGGGGGCCACCGATGATGAAGAGGCCAGAGGGTTGGATCTGAGAAATGTTAGTCGAGAAGTCAGAGAGTAGCGCAATGGAGTTGAACTCACGTGGTAGACGGTCTTGTCGTCAAGGTACTTCTCAGGGATGACCTTCTTGATGATCTTCTCCTTGATCTCCTTGCGGAGCTGCTCGGTGGTGATGTCCTCAGCGTGCTGGGCAGAGACGACAATGGTGTCGACGCGCAGGGGAACAACGGCACCGTTGTCGTGCTTGTACTCGATGGTGACCTGGGTCTTGGTGTCGGGGCGGAGCCAGGGGAGGGTGCCGTCACGGCGGGCAGCGGACATGGCAGCGTTGAGCTTGTGGGCGAAGAGAAGGGTGAGGGGGAAGAGCTCAGGGGTCTCGTCGGTGGCGTATCCGAACATGATACCCTGGTCACCGGCACCGAGCTGCTCGAGGGCCTTCTCGTAGTGGAGACCCTGGGCGATATCGGGGGACTGCTGCTCAATAGCGACGAGCAGGTTGAGGGTCTTGTAGTCGAAACCCTTGGCGGAGTCATCGTAGCCGATGTCCTTGACGGCGTCACGGACAACCTTCTGGTAGTCGAGCTTGGCCTTGGTGGTGATCTCACCGAAGACCATGATCATACCGGTCTTGGTGGCGGTCTCGCAAGCGACCTTGGAGAGGGGGTCCTCTCTCAGGCAGGCGTCAAGGATGGCATCGGAGACCTGATCGGCGATCTTGTCGGGGTGACCCTCACCAACAGACTCGGACTATCTCGGGAGTTAGCATGGGTGTTCGGCCTGAGGGGTGTCGGCAATTAGCGACCAAAAGGATTTGCTTACGGTGAAGAGGAAGTTGCCCTCATTGTAGTGCTTGCGGCTGGCAATGCCGTTGCCGTTGACACCGTTGGTAGCAGACATCTTAGATAGATGTGTGTGGGAAGTGTGTATTGTGAAAAGATGTGAAGAGAAAAAAAGTTTTGAGGAGCTCGGTGCGGTGAAAAAATACCGACGCGGGGTTCCGAGGGGCTATGAAGACAGCAACGGGTAAAAGCTACTTCTGGATTCAATGGGTCAGCCGTTTGTCCTCTTTTCTCTGGGTCTGCGTGGAGGGGAGGGAAGCTCAACGCGAAGTCAATTGCATACCTTTTGAGATGGAGAAGGGACACGGAGGAAGGCGAGGTTTGTGGATGTAGAAGGAGGAAAGAGTGCGAGAGGAGGAAGAGGAAGATGTGGCCGTTCGGGTTTTAAAAGAAACACAAGACGAGCGCGCGACCTGGGGATGGGGACTCTGGGACCCGACTTGGGACTTGGGATGGTGGCCGGTTGGGAAGAAATTCTCGCTCCTCACTTGCTCCTCTTGCTCCTCCTGCTGCTGCTCCTCTGTATCTGGATGTACCTTTTGCTCCGTGCCTGGCCATAAGCTCAAGCGGATTTGAGGCACTATTCGTGGGAGACATTGGCCGAGGGCCGGACGGCAGGGAAGGTACCCACACAAGCATAGTAAATTACTGTGGTGGGAAGGTATATTCACCGGTCGACCCCTCCATCCCTATGTACCAGCCCTGTCGAGGGGGAGGGTCCAAAATTCTCCAGATTGCGCCATCCTCACGACTTCTCTCCCTTGACCGCCTTCACCTTCGCAGCATATCTGGGACCTGTGTCAGTCAGGCACACTCCCATTAGCAGAAAAGGCGCCGTACGTGCCGTACCAAACACTCTTCGGGCCACATTACAGCACCCCCGTGTACCGCTACGGCCACCTCTTGGTTGGTGGGTTGCGGTTCAACAAGACAGCGGGCATCCCACGGTCTGGCTTGCTGGCCTTAGAAGGGAGTAAAAGCTCGGATTTACACAGTCACCAGGATGCGCACCTCAACGAGAGCAGCGGTGATCGTTCCCCGAGGGAGCTCGGGCTTCCTTCTGTTTCGTCCTTGCCATTTTTCCCCTAGCCCTTTTATTCCTCCTTGGTCAAGGCCAGAACAAGCCCGATGGTGTTAAGAACCTTATCCTCGCCTCACAAACTAAGGTAACTCCAATTGTGTGTAGGTAAGCAAAGTACGTACGGGACATAAAAAGCAGTACGGCATCGCGCAATTGCTATGGTCAAGCACGGGAGCCGGAACTCTCAACGGGAACTTTGCTGACTTGCGATTGTCTCTTTTGAGACTCTTCTAGTTCTGTCTCTCCTATCAAAGCATTGTTGAGTTAAGGACATTCCACGAGGCGTCCCTTTCTTCCTGGATAAGACACGCGAGTTCTTCGAGACTGGGCAATACGGCCCCCTGTTCAAAGCTCGGAATGTCAACGGCACGCGCACACTTCTCGGCGACATTCCCATCCTCCATTCTTCTCATGGATATTCGAATGTGTCCTTCACAGCAGTGACTCCCTCGGCGTATCCCTCCTGCGAGGACACGCATTCCGAACATGACTGCGAAGCCACCCCTCCAATACCTCTGGAGACAAGTGAGAAACCCCCGCCGAAACAGGCTAATCCCACCTAGGAGCTACGCTGTATGACATCCCTAACGGGCCTGGTGAGAATATGCCCCTCCCGCGCTCTACACGTGCGAGCGGCATTGGCCCGTAATTCCGCAGCAAGCCGCCCGTCATTGTTCTTACTGTTAGAGAGAATTGGTCCATGGGAAAAGGGGGGGGGGGCATTACATTCGAGCTGGCATCCTGTTGTCTCTTATCGCAAGCTATCGCCGCCGCGAAGCAAATTTTTAATTTTTTTTCTTTTCGCCTGCCATCCTCCAACCCCGGCACCGGCGCTGATATCGCAGTTCCGGAGTAACATCATTCAAAGAGCCGAGCTGTAGCTTCTTTGATATCTGACTAATAAGGTACCTTCAGGTACGGTCACTCTGGGTCTTCCACGATCCTAAAGTGGCGCGCAAAGACAGGCGCTGCTGATCAACCGCGACCCTTGACGCGCGCCCGTTCCTGCATGGCGGGGTAAATTTCCATAGGCAAACATCCATTCCTCTGCCCAAAAAGTCTGCGACAAGTGACTCTGCCGATCCAAGGCCACCACCACCACCACCATCACCTACCCGAACCGCTGACGCTCCCGCCACTACTACTCTGCCACACGATACCCAGACTCAGGCACTCGATCAGGAGGAAACACACGTAGCCTCTTGCTTAGCTCTGCCCTTACATATCTGCCCGCAAGTCTCAACCCACGAAACGAACCGCCCACCGTATCCTCCCTCCCATACGCCATCATGTCCAAGTACGGCGTCATGGTCATGGGCCCGGCCGGAGCCGGCAAGGTCAGTACTCCCAAAGCCAATACCCTTCTTCCGCCCCGTTACCCGGTCTCCGTGCGGCATCCAGAACCGCCGTCCAATCTCCTCTTCATCCCGTTGCGCCGGCCGTAGCGCCGGGCTACTCGCCTCAAAAAATGCATCCGAAAGCTAACATCCCCTCCGCCTCCCGCAGTCCACCTTCTGCGCCTCCCTCATCACCCACCTGAACCTCAACCGCCGCTCCGCCTTCTACGTCAACCTCGACCCGGCCGCCGAGTCCTTCGAGCACGCGCCCGACCTCGATATCAAAGACCTCATCTCCCTCCACGACGCCATGGAAGAGGTCGGCCTCGGCCCCAACGGCGGCCTCATCTACTGCTTCGAGTTCCTCATGGAGAACCTCGACTTCCTCACAGAGGCCCTCGACAACCTCACAGAGGAGTACCTCATCATCTTTGACATGCCGGGCCAGATCGAGCTCTACACCCACATCCCCATCCTGCCCGCCCTCGCCCGCTTCCTTTCCCAGCCGGGAAGCCTCGACATCCGCCTCTGCGCCGCCTACCTCCTCGAAGCCACCTTCGTCGTCGACCGCGCCAAATTCTTCGCTGGCACACTCTCCGCCATGTCCGCCATGATCATGCTCGAGATCCCCCACATCAACGTCCTCTCCAAGATGGATCTCGTGAAAGACCAGGTCCGCAAAAAGGACCTCAAGCGCTTTCTCACACCCGACACGGGTCTCCTCGACGACGACCCCATCTCCATCGCCGCCGCGGGCGGCGAGCCCGACGACGGCCGCGGCGAAGTGCACGACCGCGACCTCGTCATGCGCGGCCGGAGCTTCCAGAGGCTCAACCGCGCCGTCGCGGGCCTGATTGAGAGCTTCAGCATGGTCAACTATCTCAAGCTGGATAACACGGACGAGGACAGCGTCGGCGCGATCCTGAGCTATGTGGATGATATCATCCAGTACCACGAGGCGCAGGAGCCAAAGGAGCTCAAGGACGAGGAGTTTGACGAGCCGCAAGACGATTAAAGCTCGGGAGGGTGCTTGATGTGGGATGGATACGAACAAGGGGCGGTCACCTTCACACTATCCAGTGTGCTCGTGAAATGCACGGGTCTCGCGTGGCTGTGATTGTGCCGGGCTCCTCAAAGATGGATGGCATATTGACGAAAAACAGCAAATGGTAGGGAGATGAAGATTGCATAGCGTTGGCGTTGGTATTTATTTAATCCATTGAATCATTTATAGTCGTGTCCGGCAACATCCTTGGCATCGTGTCTCAGTCTGTCACTGTCCCGTGCACCATTTTCCTGCTTGATCCAGAGCTGCGACGGGGCTTCTCGTCTTCAGTCTTCAGATATACGATTCTTATCCAGTCTTGCGAACCTCGCCCATGGTACTGTGGTCGTCCTCATGGCCTCGGGGTTTCTTGACCTACAGTTAGAATGTCGCATCATGTCCTGATGCGTATGCCTTGTACAATCGTGTCCCCCGTCTCCAAAAACATTCGCGTCTTCCTTTCCCCGGGGTATATCCCACCATTCAATTTCCAGCGGCCCTTTCTTCTGACTTGCTTAGCGAAGTATCTTCTCGTCGTGTTTATGCCGGGAGCCTTTGTCCCGAGGACACCAGGAAGCTTGTCCTAGTTCTACAGTTCTGCCGACGCGTCGAGAGAGTCCCCATGAGATCTGTCCCTCCTCACCGGTACTTGTTGCCCTGCACCTTCGTCTCCTCCTCATACCTCCTATACTCGCTCACCCAAACGTCCTTCGCGGCAGCCGCAAACCCGACAACTTTCCCGCCCACAACAACAGCGTCCCTCGCCGTCTCAAACACGCCCCTCTGCCACACAGCCGCAACAACAACGACTACCCCGCCCCAGAAAGCGAGCCGCAGCACCAGCGCCGTCCAAAACGCAACCACGCGCCGGATCCAATTCAACACAATCACCGTGGCGGCCAGCAGCGCGAGCAGCACCGCAAAAGACACGAGCTCGGGCGACGAGTGTAAAAAGTCGAGCGTCGCGTCGACGGCGGGCGCGAGGTACGGGTACAGCTCATCGAAGGCACGGGAGGCGGCGGCTAAGGCGTGACCCTTGAGTTGTTGGACGGGCGAAGACGGGTGGAGGGCGTTTTTGTGGATAAAGTCGGCTGCGTCGGGGGGTAGGAGTGAGCGGAGGAGGAAATTTGTGATGGAGGGTTCGGCCATCTTGGGCGGTCGTTGTTTCTTGTTGACGTCTGTCGCGTTCTTTGCGGGGGTTTGGGCTTCCTCTCGAATCTGGTGTTATCGGAGTGATTGGAGCGATTGTAGAGGTTTCTCGGTACGTGTCTTTTTTCCCTACTATGTCTTGCGGCGCCTTCTCTTCTCGCTGCTCGTGTGTAGCTACTCGTCTCTTGCGTCTGGTCGCGTGCGTACTTTTTGTTGTAGAGGAGCGTGACTCTTCTGATGCCCGACACCAGATATACCCAAAAGAAGGGTAGAAAAAAAATCTCCTCGTGAGGTTATTGTTTTTCTTGACAGCACAGGGCCTAACCGACAACAGTAACAACACAAGAAGGAAACGGTTGCGGTGAGCTTTTGGCGGAAGGTCCTGTGCGGGTGGAGGAAAGAATGGAAATGGGCCAGGAAGGAAGGTGGAGTTGGACCCTTGGAACCTTGAGCGCAAGCAGAGCAAGCACGAGGCACAAGGCACAAGCACAAGCAAATGCGGTGTGCACTCGAGTGGTCGTGGTGTGTTGTCGATGCTGCTTTTTCTCCCCCAAGTGGGGAAGGATGGAGGGACGACGCTAATTCGCGACGTTCGTTCTCCCAGCATGTGAGAAGGGGAAAGCACCGACACGTTGACATCCATCTTGACAACCAAGGACATCAGGCGCTAGTGTCTCTCTAAAGACAATCTGGAAGACTTGAAGGGTATCAATATTTACTGCATCCAATAGTCAGAAAGGGAAATACTCATTTGAATCGTAAAGTATCGCGATAGACGATGCCAAAGGAACAATGTTATGTAAGCCAGGAAAGTACGTGGTCTTGTGTTCCTTCCCTGCTCGAGCTCCAATGCTAGGTAATAAGGTCCAGCTTCGACTTTGGGATAAGGTTACTGGTCAGTCAGTAGTCTAGACTATCCAAAATCCTCGCAAATGGTATGCAGAGCAATTCTTTAATGACACTACTATTGTCAGTGTTCAGGAAATCATGATACCCAGAAGGCATGGTGATGGAGGATATTGCATAGTATTCTTGAACTAGGCCAAAGACTCGATTGATAATCAGAAACCGTCCAGCTCTCTCTTCACATAATACACGTTCCCAGCACTGGTATTCTCCGAGAAACGCTTGAGACGTCGAGTCTCCTTTGAACAAAGGAAAGGTAAGCAGCTCTTGTGCAAATGAATAGACGAGATACAAGAAGAGAAAAGTAACAGCTGATACGTAGCTGTAAAAACGTACAAGAAGGGTATCGAAGTCAAAATAGGAAATGAATCGTCAACCGATGTGGGTTGTGTGGAACATAACAAGCTTCCTCCACCCAGCTCCGTTTCCACCCCTCAATCGCAGCCTCCCACTTTTCATTTTACATTATCAGTTATTCGTTTTGGACATCAATATCGGTGTCCTTGATCTGTTGCTGTCGCTGCGCCATGCAGCATAGCCCCTACCACTGTTTAAACTCCCACGGGTCCAACAGATCATCAAAAATGAAAAGAACAATGAAACCATTATGATGTTTCGCCCATGCCCTCCAGGATCCGGCGAGCTGCATCGATGCGTCTTCTATACATACGACTCTCCGAAGACGCCTTGCCAGCCTCGCTCATGGCGAGCACGCACCTGCCGAGGCTGGCAACGAAGCGTTCGACAAGGATTTGGTCCTCCTTGGCCAGTGCTTCCATGGGTGCGAGCTGGTCAGGTGTATGCATACTCTCTTTGTCGCAAATGCTAGCGGTTTCACTCATGAGAGCATCAGAAATCGTCTTCAGCTCCAGCTCGGGAGAACCCTGGGGCGTAAGGACACCGACGCTAACGCGTGCCTTGCCCACCAACGGGAAGCTCCGGTTGGTACCCGTTGAGTCGAAGGAAGCGGTCGACGGACGGTGACCCATCGTTGCTTGAGTGCTCATCGGTCGACGGTAGACCGTGGAGCCAGCCCGCGCGCGTGTTCTCAGTTCCTCCAAAACGTCCTCGCCGCCCATGGTGCTACCGATAGTTGACCGCTTGGCAGTAGGAGGGCTCTCAGTGTGCTCACTGATCGGGCTGACGCTTGGCGGGGTGAGAATGCCATGTCTCAAATCCTCGCTCACGTCGTTTGTACTGATTCTGCTGCCTCGCCCCGAGCGAGCCGTAGCAAAAGACTCAATGGTTGAAGTAGTGTCGCCGCTGCCTCTTCGATGGTGCGATCTCGGTCGAATTGACTCATCCGATGTCATCGGTCCGCGAGTCGTCTCGACGGAGCTTTCGGAACTGACGCTGCCCCGACGCTGTTGGCTCAGATTGCCTAGTGCGCTGTGGAGGAAGAAGTGTTCGTAATCGAAAGCGTCTTCTCGATCTTCGTGGGACATAAAAGTCTGGACCGTATCGTGGTAAAGGGAGTCACCACTCTCGCTGTCGTATCCGTCTTCCTCCTGGACCTGCACACTATCTTCGAAGCCATCTTCAGTATGCATGTCAGAGATGTCGTCGTCATCGTCAACTGCGTCATCCTGGCCCTTGTTTGCCTCCATAGCGTCAAGGGCCTTTTGTCTCTCTTCCAGTCGGATGGCTTCTTGGGCTGCGTCGTACTCGTCTGCCACGGACTCGTTGTCTTCCACGATCGAAGGCTCCTGTAGTTCGACTAGTACATCGGATGGGAACCCCCGCTCTTGGACCAGCCCATCGACACTGACTGCGTCGGCGTTCCATGGGTTCTTGTCCGACGTAGCAGTCAAGGGTGGCGATTGCTCCTCTTGCGATTTGGCGTACCACTGATCGACCTGCGCATGAGTAAACGGGCTTGGCGTTCGTAAGCTTTGGAGACTGCGCCTTCGCATTGTGTCCGCGCGCGCCTGCTCTCTCAGAGACGAGATCTTGCCTTTCAGGTCTTGTACCTGGCCCTTCAAGTCGCGCATCTGCGCTACCGACGCCGAGCGTACCAATGGCCGATCGCGGCTCGAGGAATTGAGTGCCGGGCTCAGCAAGCTTTCACGCTTAGTGCTATCGCTTCCTGAGTGGAACTCTTGTGCGACTTCATCCTCGCCGAGAGGTTCTAGGCCTATTTCCTGTGCCGCTTTGTATCGAGATTGGCTTTCCCCTCCAGAGTTTAGGCGTTCCAACGTAGCATCATGAACGTTCTTACGCACAGAGTACGGTTGTCGATAGCCCCCAGCCGCCCCCATGGCGCTGGCGGACCTTCTTGGTACAGCGCCGTTGTTACCTGTGTCGTAATTGAGAGACGTATCACTCAACATCCTTGCGTGCCCGTGGATAGAGGTTGGCGAGGCTGCTGATGAGGCAGGGCGCAAAATTGTGGGAGATGGAGTCGAGTGGTTCTCATCGAATGAAGACATTGAAGGAGTTGAGATGCTCAAAGAGCTTCGTGCCCTCGACAAGTTGCCTTCCATGGTCTAGAAATGTCAGCCTGCCTTCCTTACTGTTTCACCAGGGCCAGAACTTACCGTCAGCCTCCGCTTAGCATTCGCCAGAATCTGCTCTGCTCGTCGGCTGATGAGTGCGGTCGAGTACCTATTGGGGTCGTCGAGAGATTCCCTGGGTGGTTGATGTATGGCATGCGCTTGATGCACAGATGCATCCTCCACATATGACTCTGCCACACTCTCTTCGTCATCGCCCTGGAAGTTGCTGTCGTCGACGCTTACGGTATCGTCAAAGTCGGCGAACATGGCATTCTGGTCTTGAGTGGTGGTGATTGTGCTTGTGGACTCTACGGAAGACCGGCGCGAACGTGTCGCTTGAGCCGCCCGTTTCTTCAAGCTCTCAAGCATCTTGGTGGGTGATTGTGGCTGCCGTGAATCGTCGCCGCTTCGATTGTTGGGTCTGGACCAGATCACCGAAGTCGGGCGTGATCTCCTACCCGGTGTGCTCTCGGCCTCGGTAACTTCACCAATATCGGACAGCATAGTTCCGTTCCCGTAGATTATTGGTGTCGTGGGAGTGATGGGGCCGGCGATGTAGGCGCTCGGAGGGAATTGGAACTGCATATTCATATCGACAGCATGCGAATTCTTCCACATTGTCAATGGAGAATGGGATCGGTCGGGAGAAGGCGAGCGATCGTAGTCGGGCAGAATCATGTCGGGATTCGTCAATGTAGGAGAGGCAGGCCGCGGGGGATATGATGAGGTGGAGCTCGAGTGAGCATGGCCCGCGTGGGCGTTTAAAGTCTGAGTTGCCATTGTTTTTGATGGCCAAAATTGGTTGCAAACGACTCAGGTACCGTTTGTGCAGCCTCCCGCGCGTTGTATGATCTAAGTTGCAAGACGTTGATTGTCGTTGCAGCGGCCGTGAGTCTGGCGACACAAAGCGAGTCGATCCCCAACGGGGCTAGCTGCAATTAACCGGTAAACCTTCAGAGGCGCAAGAACCTGAATGGACAGTCACTCTTTGTAAACAATAAGCAACAGTCAGGACGAAGGCATCTAGGCAAAAATTCGGGTAAAGTCAAAAACGCTGACCACGTCTGCTTGGCCCGTGGCCCGTCCGGTCGTGATTCGGATGGATTAAGAGTTGGTTTCCAGGGTCGAGCTGGTTGTCAGGTTTGCAACCAGATCAGATGAAGCTAAACGAGCTGCAAGCAAGTCGCGGAAGTTTTGGCGGGGTTCGAGGGAAAAGCGCAGGCTGGCCGAGAAACGTCGGAGATGTGGTTGAGAGTCGATTTCCTTGGGGCACCGCCGTAGATATGCGAGATTGCGTGGTGGCTTTTGCGGGCGCTGAGTGTAGAAAGCGTAGCAGCAAGTGGGAGTCCGTTTGCGGGAATAGAGACGTCGTTCGCCGTATGCAAGCGCATAGGTAGCAAACAGGCTGCCGTGTTCGGGGTAGGTGGCCGGAACGAGGCAGTCGAAATGCCGGTCTATCGTCGATCGAAGAAAGAAATCGGGATGCAAGAGCAAACGGCGTCCGTTGTAAGCGAATCCGGCTTTTCTTCCCCTTCTTTTCCTCCTCTTGCAACGTGTTGGGTGATGATGCACAGCTGTGTCGCGACAGGCTCCAAGTTTAAGGGGTTGCAGCTGGTGGTTTTGGGGCGCGAAAGCGATGGGGGCCCCGCAGGATGTTTGAAATTATCGAGAAAGTCGACCAATGAGGTTGTGCCGATGTTTGTGAGACATGCAGCGGGTGCTCTAGTGCTTGTCCTGTCTCTCGCTGAGGTGCAGCAGGCGCAGGAGGAGCAAAGCACAAGTATTCGTACGAAACGAGTGGAAGTGTAGGTGAAGGATGGAAGATGGACCTGGTGAATGCCTCGTGGCTGCCGTTCGTTTCCCCTTCACTGATCTGCGTTGGCTGTGCAAGCAAGATAAGATGACAGGCTGCGGGAGATGAGCGGCCCAGGGATCGAGTATGCGTACATATGCGTATAGAGTACTCCGTACGCAGTGCGCCGTACACGCCGAACAGAGCAGGATCGCAGGAGGGCTCGAGACCTGAAGCGGCAGTTGATGCGTCCAATCCAATGAAAGGTACTTGCTCTGCTGTACCAATTGTGCTGCGTATGTCGAGGTATCACACACAGAGAGTACAAGTATACTTTGCCGCAGCTGAAAGGTGTAGAGCACGGGGTATCGAGTAAAGGTATCTTTTTCGTTGGAAGCGAATTGGTGTGGGAATGACAGGCTGCACGAGTGCGGGTGAGCGAAGCCTGACCCAAGCCGGAAAGGAAAAGTAATAATGTATTCGCACTTGCGCTGCAGTAGCCAGCTGCCGAGAACGGTCTTGGCTTGTTGATCGGCGAGCTGACTGAGCAGTGAGGACCAAGTGCGTGGTACGGAAAGCCCGTGGGTTTGCTTGTAGTCTACGAAGTAACCGTATAGAATAATTAGCATCCGCAGACGTGCAAGTGACACTGACAGGAAGAACAATGCCCGTCAAAGGGGCTTCTCTTGGCCGCCAAATGCAGATGTCGCATGGCATCCGATGCTCATTATGTCGGTCCCTCTCTTCATAGTATAAGGCACGCGGTTATAGGTAGAGTATCCAGGTCTGGCCCCATTGTCTGATGTCTCGCTTCTGGTCAAGTCATCATCTTCTTCCCGCGTCTCTTAATTCGCGAAATAGCTAAGACAGGGGACAGGCATTCCCCATGTCCAACAGCCCTTCCGTTCGTAAAATTTTCAAATCTCTTGCTCCAACAGAGGAGGAGACCAATGCTCGTGCAAGCTCACAAGCTGGTTCGCACTTGGTCTGCCCCCCTGGACCGGCCGCTTCGACCCTAGCCCGCGGTGGCTTGCTAGAGCAGTATCGCTGCACATGGGGGGTCGCGATGGTCGTGTGCGGGTCTCGTTCCTTTCTCTTCCATTCCCAGCAGCGTTAGCAGTCGGAAACTTCCATAGGACCTTGCTTCTTCCTTGGGGCCTGGGCTGTCCAGTCGGAAGCACCAATGCGAAGCGTTAATAGCGCTGCTTCTATGGGTTCGTATGTAATTCGTCGTTCGCACCTCGCAGTGTTCCTGGCGTTGCTGAACTGAGCGTACTTGCAGCCCCTGTTGGGACAAGCGTGGTTCTTTTTCTGCGGTTGCTTTCCTGCAGGTGCTGCCCTGCGGTGCCTGGCATGAAAGTTGAAACTGCCAGGATGATTGGACCCGAAGAATGAACTTACCCTTAAGACACTGGGGCCCCCGGTTCCTCCCAAGCATTGGCCAGCAAGTGGAAGTGGACTTGGCATGGAAGTTGGTGCACGAGAAGCGGAGCTGCGTCAAGGAAAGAAACAGTCCCGGCCCCGACGCCTTCTACCTTAGGTGCTTAGGTACCTTCGGTTACAATGGGAAGGTACCATACCAATTCCCAAGTATCCGTACACAAATTTGAAGAGAGGAAGCAGGTGCCAGGTACACCTCTCTGCTGCCTCCTTCCTTCCTTCCTTCCAAGTTCTTCCGTAGGTCCAACGGCTTGCATAGGCACGGGGCAAGCACGGGCACGAGCACCTTCGAGAGAAAACCGCACTCGCACGGTGGTGGAGTCTTAGGACGTTTACGCAAATCTCGGCAATTCATCAGCTTTCCGCATGCAGAACCCTGACGTGCCTGGCTACCCTCCCAGGACATCTCGACCGCCTCTCGTTCCATTTGTGGACGAACCGCGGGAATCCGCTACTGATCAAGCAGAAGGCCGTCGAATCTCCATTTAAGACGAACCCATCCCACCACGGTTAAGCTTCATGACAACCTCGCTGATGTACTTGGAGCTGTGGAGATATTGGTCTCGGACTCCTCATCTGCTGGCCTACTTTGGTAATGATCTGAAGCTTTCCTCCGATTTCTATGGACAGTCTCAGTCGACCCTGAGGCTCCTCCTCGTCCTCCCAAGTTCTAGCGGCCTTTTATGATGGCCCCCATGCAAACTCCCAGACCGTTGGATGCGGGCGGGGCACCAGCACTCCGTACTGAATCAGCGATCGAACAGCCGACCTAAACTTGCCAAATTCCTCGCGGTTTCTGGAATGTTGGCACTCCTCACTCGAGTACGGATCTCGGCGCGCCCACCTTATGACAATTCACCAGTGGGTTACGCCTCCAGCCTTTCTTCAGCTATGCCATTCGTCGGATGCACTGTGTTGCATTTCACCCTGAGCTGAATTTGCCTGTAACGCGCCTAGGCCGATAGGACCCAGAAGGAGAGAACGACTCGGAAGATGGGATACCAATGGCACCTCAGCATTCCCAATCCCGCTGCCACTCTGTTGCGCGCCAACGCGTCTCTCCCACCAGTCTCTCGACTTCACAGCTGGTAGTGACGCCATGCATCTTTAACTTGACACAGGCATCGCCCTCTTACCACAGGTCAAATATATTGCGCTCGTCTATTTAACAAAAATTTTTCGCCTGGTTTGCATTGACTCTAGTCGCCCAACCAATCTCGACGCCAACCATCTCATCGCAAATCTTGGGTGAATCCAGCGATCCGTCGTAACCTCAAACCAGCGGCATCCTTGCCACGCTCAAACTACTGGACCATGCCTTCCCATGGACGGGACGGGCATCCCGGGCGCGGGGGAACCTGCGGAAGAATCTGGCATTGGCAAGCGGCGAACATATCCTCCACACTATGCTCATGGTCTGTAACTCTAATGAGAAGAGGTTCGTGAATGTCGATGAATGGCTTTTTCCCAATCTCATTTACGATGGCATAAGTCAATAGCTTCGAATGTTAAATCTATTGCCCGACGCACCGGTCAACAAGGCGTTGCGCCCGGATCTCGTCGCCTATCTCGTTCGGTCTTGGGGTCCTAGGGCTATGTCCCTTTCCAATCAAACGGAATATTCGCCGGGAGCCCTACTCGGCCACCGCGCCGGCGGCAACCTTTCATCATGATCAGAAAGTCATCACGGTCTAGGCATTCGTCGTATGGCCTGTTGTGGCGTGCTTGATACTTCTGCTCCGCATCTTTGGGATGCTGGAATGTCCCCAGATGATGTTCCCGAGGGCCTGGGCCCGGTCCCTTTCTATGTCTCAGACCCCGTCCAGCAATGCGTCTGACGACAGCCGCATTGTCGGGAACAGCATGAATATCCACAAGATGGTGGCATCATGTCTGACTTGACCATGTTGTGCAAAGAAGTAAAACGACGACATGGCATGTCCCAACTCCCTCAATTGTGACACGGTTAGGCGCGCGTGTCTTGCTTTTTTTCGATCTTGTGATCTTAAATGTCCGGATATATACCCAATAGTCTATGCTTTTTCTGTATCTTTTCGCCAATCCTCAATGCAAATTCCAGTGATCCTCCCGTATGGCTGACCACGTATAAACAGTCCATAATGCTTTTAATCGGCAACCCATGTGCCTTTCTGTATCCCATCTTCTTGGTGGACAATGCGGCACGCTGATTTAGCCCTCAGTGAACGCCTCGCTTCTAGCCTGCGCAGTGGAGGCATCTTCATTGCCGTTGTCCTTAGTCGTGGGGCGGTTGGCGATGAGGCGCTGTGAAAAGTCAGGCATATGGTCTCCAGTTCGCCATGTTCATCTAGTTCACTTACCACCAAGTTTCTCAAAAGGCACGCAATAGTGACCTTGCCAACTGACGGGACGTAGATGGCCGCCTTCTCCTTGACGGTGGGCGCGTCGAAGTTGCGGTGGGAGGAGAAGTTGATGCATACAGCACCCTCGCGAATGAGGTCGGTCGAGATCTTGTACTTCTCGCTGGGGACGCCGCCGATGATGACGTCGCTGAGGGGCAGGACCTGCT